GATTGCCAATAATAAGGCAATAAACCTTCATTATATTTCTTGTTTGATTAAACGATTAGTTATCAAAATATTAAAATTTATCATTTAAATAGCAAAATAAAAAATTTGATTGCCAATAATAAGGCAATAAACCTTCATTATATTTCTTGTTTGATTAAACGATTAGTTATCAAAATATTAAAATTTATCATTTAAATAGCAAAATAAAAAAATTGATTGCCATTAATAAGGCAATAAATCTTCAGTATATTTTTTATAGCCAATCTAAGAATTATCGAAATTCAAATAAATTTTTGGTAGCTAGAGAAATTAAAATTTATTTGACAAAGCAAATAAACTTTACAGTGTTTTTTCCTTTAGAGAAAATACATATATAATGATATGATAAGACAAAACTTTCATAACGAGGTTCTAATTCTTAATATTAGACAAAACATCCCAATTAAAATTGATAATATTATATTTGATTTAATATTGATGAAACATAATTTTGATTTTATAATAAGTTTAATAATATATCAATGTGCATCATTTAATCGTATTTGATTTATTATATTTCTTATGTTTGTCAAAATCTAATATAAAACTATTTATATTTGTTTAGACATTTATATTAATATTAATACAATTATATGTATAATATTTTATTTAATAAAATTTTAATTAAATTAATTTTATTTTTACACAGTCATAAATGGTGAACATTCGACCAGTAACATCTTTAATTAAACTGAACTAATCGAATTTTTTAAATTTAATCATTTATTCAAATTTAGCCAAATCAATTTGACCGAATCAATTTTAATTATTAGTCAGATTGAAGTTAAAGAAAATAAAATTCTAATTAACCAATCGAATTTAACTGAATTTCACCAAAATTTATCGAATCAACTATTCATCCTACAATCATCTTTTGAAATTAAAATATAATTTACAATATTTTATTTTATTTATTAACCAAATAGAAAATCAACAAAAAAATAAATCAAATCAACTTAATTATTCCAACCAATAAAATTAAGGGAAACTTATTATTTAGTCCCTCAGGTTTTACAAAATTAACCAACTAATCCAAGGTTTTGCCAAAATATCTAGCTAGTCCCTCAGGTTTAAATAATTATTAGTCCCTCAGGGTTTTACAAAAATAAAAAATTAAACCAACTAAATCCCCCAAGGTGGTTTCTGGACCAAAATATTCGTAAGGGCTTTAAAGTCACCTCCTAGTTTAACGAACTCCGCGTAAATTAAAAAGGTCCTTCCCGTTCCGAAAAAGGGTTGGTTTTTTTTTCCGTTCAAATTTTATAAGACTAAAAGACTAAAACAAATGTACCCTCCTCCTTAACTACGCTTGGGACCATTTAAAGAGGAAAAAATATTTAATCTAGAGACGGGAGGGGGCTCCCTCAGGGTATTTTTACATAAAATAATCTACAACTAAATCCCAAGGTTTATTTGCTGGCTAAAAATGTTATTCTTAAACTAGTTCCCTCAAAGGGGTTTAACTCCGTCTAATTGGAAAGGTTCCTCCTGTCCGGAACAATAAAGCTTAGGTTTTTTTCCTGATAATAATCGTATTAGACTAAAACCAACCTCTCTCCCTTAACTGACTGAGACAGTTATGTAAGCCGCATTCAAGCAACGGATTCGCGAATTGTAAATAAAACTTTTAAAAACATGACTAAATAATACATTTGTCATCCCCCTCTATACACAGAAGTCGAGATAGGGACCGTACCATTCAACATTCAATCCTTTCTTCCTCTCTTAAATATCGTAGACGGATTTAGTTATCTCTCATACAGCGACCACTTTATATCGTGAAAATACATTGCAAACAATCCCGATGTAGCAAAATTAACCATATTAATACATTTATAATCGCGTTGTCTCTAAAAACACATATTGAACTAAATCCTTTTCCATCTCCCTAACTTCATAATCACCACCCTTCTCTCAATAGGCATCTTCATAGAATTTCATGTCTTTTTGTTAAATCCAAAAATTATAATATTGTATTAAAATTATAATTACAAATTAGTTTGTCAATTCACACAATTTTCTGCACCAATCAATCTTTACTCTTTTAAGATTGAATACCTTAAGTTGCCTTCTAAGAACAATCATTAAAATCTATGCACAGTATATAATTAAACTGCTAATATCAGTAACCACAAAAGAGGATAAAAAGTCTAATCATTATCCGACGAAAAAAACAATCAGTTATCATTTAAACATTCCAGATCCTATTAAAAACCGCACAAGAATTATTTAACAAAATGCTATATTCATCTAGACATTAATAAAATTAGCGGGAACCCAAATTTATTTGTTAGACAACAAAACTATTTTCCGTCTAAACTCTGCGACAAAGTTATTGCTATGGGAGATACACACCCAGACTCCCAACCTGCTATATTAAAACATTCTAAGTCCTAACAGGGACTAAAACCGACAATATAAAAAGATAGTTACATATATGCCTAATTGTTGTCTGAAATTTTAAAACTCTATCTTATTAAATTGTAAATAGTGAGAAATCTATTCTAGTGACTATCACTAAGTCACACCAATCACCTTACCTATTTCAATATAATTCAAAAGTAAAAATTTACTCTAACCTTTTCTATATTTGCTATGCACCACCACCCATACATATTATCATATTTCCATCGCCTCTAAAGTTATTCTTTTTATTCACTGACTAAAACAACTAAAGTAAGGTTCAATTTAGAAATATAATTTGTTCGTCACCTTCTCCTTTTACCTTCATATTTAACAAATAATGCAAAACTCGACAATTTACTTCATCACAGAATAGTCCATGCGACACACACACAATCATGTCTTAACGTATTCATCAACCATTGCATTAGCAACAGGTTCTTAACAACATAGAAACAGAAACATTACATATACAACATCAGTATCTTCAATATTCTAATTTTCAACTTAAAACACATCAATCTTTGTATTAACACCTTCTTGTCTGTTTCTCCTGTCATTCTGGTTAATGTAAAGTATAGTAAATTATTTTTTAATAAATAATAGTTAACAAAATTATTAATTAAATTTTATTAACCGAACCTTAAAGTAAGGAGAGGAAGATGTTATTTATGATTTTGGGGAAAAATTATAAAAATAAAATTTTATAAATTTATAATAAAAATAAGGAAAAAAAATGAAAAAAAAAAAAAAAAAAAGATGTTAATTACTCATAATATTTCTAAAAAAAAAGATATTTGCGGAAGGGAAAACCCACCGGCTTAAAATAATTAGTTATTTTATAGATAAAAAAAAAAGTAATTATTAATTTGGCCATCTATATTATTATGAATTTCATTAAACTTTTTGAAATATGAATTATAATAATTTAAAGCAAGGTTATCTTGTTGGCAAAAAGGGATAAAACTAGGGTATATCATTCTGGCATGGAGGGAAACAAAAGGGGGATAAAAACAAGCTAGGTATATTGCATGTTAATTCGCTCATACGGTCCACGTCAGCTAGGGGGGAGGGGGTGTGTTTAGGTCGGTTTTAAGGGGTCTTCATATTAACGGAAAAAAAAAAAAAACAAAAATTTAAACCTTCTCGGACAGGAAAGGACCGTTTCAAAATTAAGACGGTCGTACACTCGTTAAACCCTTTGAGGGGAAACCTAAAAGTTTAAAGATTAATTCTGCCAGCAAAAAAATTATAGGGAAATTTAGTTTAGAAGATTCAATTATGTAAAGAAAAACCTTAAAAGTGGGACTACGACGGTCTCGGGAGACTTTAAGCTCTATTTCTTGCGCTGTCCATTTGGTTCCACGTCAGTCTTGAGTGAGGATGGTCGGGTTCTTTCAACGTCTTTTTAGTCGACAGCCTACCTACCCGAATTACACGTGTAGCTGCCTAAAGACAACAAATAACAACAACCAACATTCCTACTCTCCTCTATCGCGTCACAGGCCGAGCTCTGCCATTCCGTTCTGCTTCGCCTCATAATCACTTCAAATGCCAGAAGTCACTTCCTACATCATATCCTCTCATGGAATTGCATCCTCAGATGCTGTAACAAAACCTTGAAACGGGAGCACTAGTGCTAGAAATATCGGAACTTTTGGCAAAAACACCTGCTATAATAAAAGTTGAGGTTTAATTTTGTTAAAACCCATGAGGGGAACTAAATAATAAAATTACCCTAATTAAAAAAGAACGCTCGTTAAATATTTATGTTTTTATTTCAAATTCATTAGACCTTAAGAGTTCTTTTTATTCCCCGAATCAGTTTCGCTTTTGACAATCAAAGCTTACCTGCGCACATTTCCACAACGTTCCGGCTTTTGACAACCACCCAGCAACCCAAGACGGAATGAATCTCACTATTCGTTAGAAATTTCCCCCATTGAGCAATTATCAGCCAAAACCAGTCTCTATGTAAATCACCTGATTTACAACAACCGAAAATTAGGAGAACACATTGAGATCGCGGGAGTGCCGTTCTTGCCCTTCGTTTTAAAACACCGTAGATGCAAAAACATCTGCTCCGCGGCTAGTGTCCAGACACCTTTTTACTATCTTCTCCATCTTATTTTGTTTCCAAAATACTTTTTTTTGAGAAGTGGATTGTTTTCCAACGGAAAAAAACCAACTTTTCGGACGGAAGGACCTTTTAATTAGACAGAGTTAAACCTGAGGGACTAGCTAGATATTTTGGCAAAACCTTATATAGTTGGTTAATTTTGTAAAACCTGAGGGACTAAATAATAAATTACCCTAAAATTAAAAACCTTAAAAATATTTATTTCAATTCATAAATTTAATTTTTCCCGATCCATTCCGCTTTTACATCAGAGATCACGTACGCTCAGCCACACAGCAACCCACAAATCAGTTTGTTAGAATCCATAATATCAACAGTCTGTAAACTACTAAGCACAATAGGAAATTGACGCGTGTTTTGTTAACGTAGATGCAAATGCTGCTGAGTCACCTTTTCTATTTTCATTTTTTTTTTTTAATTTTTTTGAGAATGATTGTCCCTTTTCAAGTATCGGAAATAGTACTCTGAACTGTGCTTCTCCATTTTCTCATTTCTCCACAGCGAAAAAGAAGCAGCAGAGAAATCAATACTGCTCAAAATTGACGAACCAGTAAGTCTCTCTCTCACTATACTTTTTCTCTCGTAGCTATTTCTGGTTTCAAAATGAGCTGCTTTGTCCGGCAACCGGATTATTCAATAATCAGAGAGATTAAGGTTTTAAGCGTGTAATTAAGTGAACTGAGAATCAGTTTTCTAAAAGCGAAAATGTATGTTGATTTCTACTATTTATTCCGTACTGGTGGATTGTTATTTAAGAAAATGGGTTTTGTTTGGTTGCTAGGCTCGGGTAATGTCAGATTTTCGTTATGGTGGGTTTACTGTATATTTTGAACTTGTTAAGCAGACATTAAATGTTTGAGATTCAGTGACATTTTGCATGTGTAATTTGAGAAATAGAATATGTGACCTAGAAATGCTTGATAAATTGTATTCATTATTTTTTACGCTTGGAAGTTTTCAATTGTTTAGACTCTATATGAGGACTTAATCCCCCGGATTTAGCACATGGATTTTTTCCTCTTTTATTTACTGCATGATAAATCCCGTTAATAATGATGGTAATTTGATAGGAAGTAATTAGTTGTTTAGATGTTCATTGTTGTATTTGATACCGGTTCAAATAGGTTCCCTCTTATTAATTCTGTCTCTGTCTCTCTTTTGCCTCAGATGGATCACAGCTCTGAAGAAGAATCTGACATCAGTGATTCAGAGATCAATGACTACAAGGATAAGCCATATGAAGAATTGAAGTCTGGAAAATACAAAGTAAAAGTAAATGGCAGCTTAAGATGTCCATTCTGTGCTGGGAAAAAGAAGCAGGATTACAAGTATAAGGATTTGCTTCAACATGCATCAGGAGTTGCTAAAGGTTCTGCCAACAGGAGTGGAAAACAAAAGGCAAACCACCTTGCCTTAGCAATATATTTGGAGACTGACCTAACTGATGAAGTAGATCAAAGTCAGCGCCCAGTTTTGCCACAGCCTGTCAATCCGACTCCTGAGCAAGAAATGGATGTCTTTGTTTGGCCATGGATGGGAATTGTAGTTAACATAGTGAATGAAGCAAAAGATAGGAATGCTTTGCAAGATAGTGGGTATTGGTTGAAAAAGTTTGCTCTGTATAAACCATTGGACATATATACTTTCTGGAGTGAAGAAGATCAAACTGGAATGGCTGTTCTAAAATTTAACAACGACTGGAATGGGTTTATTAATGCAACTGAATTTGAGAAATCATTTGAAACTTCGCATCACAGTAAAAAGAACTGGAAAGAGCTAAAAGCAAATCCTGGCTCAACTATTTATGGCTGGTGTGCTCGTGCTGATGATTATGATACTGAGGGTCTGGTAGGAGAATATCTTCGAAAGGAAGGAAAGTTGAGAACAATTTCTGGCATTGTACAAGAAGCAACTGAAAGCAGAAATGTTGTTGTGGCACACCTGGCCAATAAAATTGATCAGACAAATGAAAATTTAGACGAACTCCAATATAAATACAATGAGAAGACCATGTCCTTGAGTCGGATGCTTGAAGAAAAAGACAAACTGCACTATGCTTTCCTTGAAGGTTTGTCCAGTATATTTGTGCTCTTCTAAACAGTTACGTGTATTGCATGCTAGGGATGATTGTGCCAACTACGAGCAAAAGCATACTGGTGTATGTAGTAATCCTAGCCCTAAAAACTAGATTGTAGATTTGACAGGAGAACAGCGAAATGGAGAGAACTAATAAAATAAATGCTCCACCAAAGGGCTGATCTTTTGGTTGCACAACCAAGAAAAATAATTATCAGTAAACTGGTTCTATCAATGTCTGAAATCTGCCTACGTCCCTGTTTAAAGCTCAAAATCCTGCAGGAACAAGGTTTTGAACATAAGATCCTAGTGGGATAAAGTTTTGAACATTAAATACTAGCAGAATTAGTACCTGACCTTTCATATAAGAGTCTAAAATAATTAAAAGATAGACAATCCAATCCTAAGTTTTGAAACCCCTAAATATAAATTAAATACTTTTTCTCTTGCATCACATACTACAGGCTGCTTTGGCTAAAAACTGTTTTTATGTGTACAAGGAGGTTTTTTTTTAGCGCTTGCTCTAAAAGCAATGATAAATTGGCCTTTAGCCAAGCTTCTATATGGATTCTTGTCTCTATGACATGAAAATTGTTTCTATGTGATCCTTATTGCTTAGTAGTTTTGTCCCCACTTGCTTGAAGTAATATGAAAGAGTTTAGCTCGTGTTTTAAGTATGAGTGGGTTTTAGTGTTTGTTGAACTTTTCACAGTCAAAAGGTAAAAGCAGATAAAATGATCAAGTCTACGGTTTATCCTGACAATTGTTTATTTGTGCAAATAGGACTTAAAATATATAAAACCACCCATTATGCTACTGATTTAAGTATATTGGTTTAAAAGTTTTATCCGTGAGATTGGTATGGTTTTATTCACAATTGTTTTTAATTGTTCATCAGAAACAAGGAAGATGCAGCGACTTGCTCGTGATAATGTACACAGAATCTTGGAAGAGCAGGAAAATATGAGTGAAGAATTGGAGGCTAAGAAGAGGAAACTTGATTCCTGGAGCAAAGAACTTAACAAACGTGAAGCACTTACTGAGCGCGAGAGGCAAAAACTTGATGAAGAGAAGAAACAGGTACCAAGTGTCTCCCACCAATCCTGCGTTGGAAATTTCAATCACCCAGTGGTCACTTGCTTATCATTTAGCCGCTTTGGTCTTTTTGTGGCACCTTTGTTTCCAACTCATTTTCCCATTAACATGAATTTAGTTTTCTCGCGCACTTTTCTTTATTTCGCAAGCTTTAATCTCCATCTGTTCAGTTATCTTTTTTGAATGCACAAGTCTTTTCCTGTGGACCATAATTTCAATCACAGGCGAGCCTGCAGTACCCTGTAACACTGTCAAGCTTGTTGTGGTGATGATGCGACCATCATGAATTTCTTTTTGTGAAAAATTGCAAAGTGCATGAAACTAATAAATATTGAAAGAGTTTCCTAAACTAAAAATGCAACAAGAAGTGCATGATGACATGAAATAAAAACATCGAATCCATAATTACATAATTATAGTCATTATTGTCAATCAACTTAATTAACTAGCACAAAACAAAGAATTGTAGAGCAGATAAACTAATGTATGATATTAGTAGATCCATCTTATAATATAGTATGAACCATATGTTTTAACTTTTAACAACAAATATGCAAATGTAAGCAAGCAACACAAAAGGTCAAATTAACTCTCATCTTTGAAGAAAGGGTGAAAAATTACTCCTCTTTACTTGAGATTTTTCTTGTTAAAGGTGAAATCACGCATTACCATATTGGCCAAATTACTCCAACTTTTAGTTCAAAAAGAATGAAAAGCAATACAAAGTACCTGTATGTAATAAGTACATGATAATTCAGCTTGTAGTGATAAAAGTGCTCTATGACAAAGTATGGATGAAGTGCATCTGTTTGATGATGTTCTGTTCTTATTTCTAACAATATCTTTTGTCCGTCTAGAATGATGAGAGAAACAATTCACTTCAGTTGGCATCCATAGAGCAGAAGAAGGCTGATGAGAATGTTTTGAGGCTGGTTGAAGAGCAAAAGGTGCACTGCTTATTGTGAAGCATGATAGTATTTACATTGTGTTATCATGTTAAAATTTTTTGCTTTTACTAATGAAGATTCATGAATTTTTCAGAGGGAGAAAGAAGAGGCCCTAAATAAGATTCTTCAGTTGGAAATGCAGTTGGATGCCAAACAGAAGTTGGAAATGGAAATTCAGGAGTTAAAAGGGAAATTACAGGTGATGAAGCATCTTGGTGATGAAGATGATACAGCTGTCCAAAATAAGATGAAAGAGATGAATGATGAGCTCGAGCAAAAAGTAGATGATTTAGCTGATGTGGAAAGTCTGAATCAAACTCTTATCACGAAAGAACGCCAGAGCAATGATGAGCTACAAGAAGCACGCAAAGAACTAATTCTGGTATTGCTTTCCTTTCCCCTTTTTTTCCATGCCAAAAAGCCAATTACCTCTAGTTTTCATCTCGAACGTTGAATGTAGCAATTATATTTTTGTTGCTCTCAAGTAATTCCTCTGGTAGTTGAAACATTTACAGAAACAAGGGGATCATGTCAGGGAATAAATTTTGTCCATGTGTTTGATAACATGGCTAATATCGCTGCCCACTTAAGTTAAAGTCATCTAGTGGCAAACATGTCTTCATCTCCACAGCTGAAATTCCTATATTCAGTTTGAGATGAAGGGGAGTGAGAGATTTCTGGGATATAAGAATTTATCTGCAAAACAAAAAATTGGAAATCAAAGACTAATATTCTTGAGCCATTGTTTTTACTGAGAAGTGAAACTAGCTAGAAATAATGGACCAAAGGCAAAACTGTTGACTTGGAACCCAGGAAAAGGAATGAAGAAAAGACCTATTGATTCAGTTCCACCTTAGCATCATCATTATCCAAATATCTTGAACCCAAGCCAACTTATCCCAAGCTACCGCCAACAAAAATGAGAATTGTTACAATAGAGACTCTTAAAAACACCCAAGCAAGTTTATGCCTAATCACCAAACAACTGCATCACTGATTTCACAAAAAGCACAAGATGGAAAGTCAGAAATAGAAACCCTATAGGAAATGAACACCACGTCGCCTCCAATAGGAAACATGCACTTTTCCCAAAAACCCTTCTCCCTTCTCCCTTCTCCTAGGTAATCAAAAGTAACAAATGAAAATAATTGGTTTCAATTGAAGAAGTGGGTTTTGGGTTTCCATTAGTCCATATGCCCTGTTGACTCACCGTTCAGAAAGTATCAAAGCTAGAAGATCCGTGACTAAGTGAGACAGAAGGCACATTGTCAACCTAAGGTCAAGAAACAGGAGACAGCAAAACTTGGTCTTGTTTGCCATAGAATGATTTGGGAAATGAGAAATGGAGAAGAGATGATTATAAGGAGATTGAGATATGCAAAATCATTAAGACGGGATAGAGACGTAATATATAAACATACAAAGAAAATGAAGAAGATAGGAAGATAGAGTAGGGTTTGATGGCTGTTGCAACCACCATCTGTGTGCTTACTCATGTACATGCGTGTGCACATGGTTTCTGAGGGAGCGAGAGAAAGGAGAAGAGACAATAACTAAATTGGTAATGAGGAAGAGAGGAGAAAACAAGAGTCCATATCTCCTTATCTTAAATTCAATTTGATCCGCTCTAATGGCTGTGTGATCTATTTTATTCCACATCAGTAGATGGCACAAAAAAAGTTAGTGGTTGTTTTTATTAGCAATTGGTTCCATTGAAACATATAATACTTTAATGGCCAAATTGATGATATAAAAAATGTGGATTCAATTGCATCCTTGAGAAAAGCACAAAGAAAAGTAGCCGTTTGGTCTCTCTGTTAGTAACCTTCTTTGACTATCTGTCTTCCTTTCGCTCCGCTCCTTATTATTCTCTTTGAAGTTCATTTACTTAATTGAATTGGCCTTGTTTTGTTCTTAAATTTGGGGTCTTATAGGTGATATTTTGTGTTGGAGCTGAAAAGTGGTGGTCTGGACAAACATGGGAGTTGTTAACTGACAGGGAATGGTTACAATGTCCAATGCAATTTCCCCAGTGTCTTTCTGAATTTTTTTTTTTTTTGGCTGATTTGGTTGAATCATACAAATTAATGATCCTGTTCTTGCCTACTTTTCTTGCCTGTGTGACCAACTGGTAATATCCTGCCATGAATATTCTCTTCCTATAATATATATCAAAGGAACCTGAATCGGTAATTAATTTTCTGCTCATGGATGACTGGATAATCAAGTGAAAGATGAAAGTAACCGGGGATGCTTCTTCCTCTGTTTCTTTTAGGGTTTAAAAGATACATTGGCATCAAGTGTTCGAACAAATATTGGAATAAAGAGAATGGGTGAAATTGATCAGAAGGCATTCCTTAATACATGCAAGCAAAAGTTTGCAACTGAGGAAGCTCAGGTTCAGGCCTCTACTCTATGCAGCTTGTGGCAGGAGAATTTGAAGGATCCAAACTGGCATCCATTCAAAATTGTCACTGACGCTGAAGGGAAACATGAGGTAAAACTTTATCTTTCTCCTTCCTTAGAAGTTGCTGAATTTTGGTCTAATTACATTGGATGGTACATAATGCAGGAAATAGTAGATGAAGAAGATGAGAAACTGCAAAATCTCAAGCAGGAGTGGGGAGGTGACATTTACATGGCAGTTGTTACTGCTTTAAAAGAGATAAACGAGTATAATCCGAGTGGGAGATATGTTACTCCTGAGCTTTGGAACTTCAAAGAAGGAAGGAAAGCCACGTTGAAGGAGGTGATTGGTTATATTGTGAAGAATATCAAGACACTAAAGCGCAAGAGATGAAGGGAAGTTATTGATAAGGTTAGCATAACCAATGTTCTTAATTATTTTATAGTTTATCTGCTACTAAATACATCCTGAAGCCTCTAAACTTTGCAATTGATGACTATTGAACCCTCGAAGTTTTATTTGTCCACATTGAGCCCTTGAACTATTATCTTCTTATACATTAGATACTTATTTAACCCTCCGTTAAATGTATTTCAATTTACTGTTAATAATTTGCCACTCCAGACTTTCCAATAATAAACAACTTATTTTTAAAACAATCAAATGGCAAACTTTGTAAATTCAATGGGAACTCGGGCTTCTTCCTGCAGCTGTTGTGTTTTGTTTTGAGACGAGTTTAGCCTTAATCTGGTTCCATGTTTTACATTTAAAGAAACTATTATCACTTCAAGTTTTATCATCCATGAATTGTGAACATGCACATATTCAATAAATCATCCAAAATAAATAACAATAAAAAAGTTATACATTTTATAAGATATGGGTTTGGAATTTTGGGGAAGGGCCATGCTCATAAGCAGGAACTTGTTTTTTTGGGGCAGTATTATGAATTTTAACAGGCCTTTTCTTTTAATCTCAAAAATATTTATCACATTAATTAATTTTTTTTAATTTTTCTCCTGGGATGCTATTATTACCAGTACAGAGGAATGTTGTTATTGATATATGAAATGATCTGTTGATTCTGTTGGAATTGCCGAATCGGATTCATCAAATGAAACACGACAAACGCGTGCTGTGAGAATTTAAATTCATTCATGTCCATTATCAACTATCTTGTTTAAAGTACATTATTCTTGTGCATAACCTTTAACTTATATGCTAGGGTTGTTCCCGTGGAAGAAATGGAAGCTGAGTTTGGCGGCACGAGAGGTATGTTAAATCTGTAACCAATGAATCAGAAGCTAGGACCATAATTTTTCAGGGTAATTTTTATGCTTGCTCCATCTGGATGCATTCCACCGAGAATTGTTGGATTGGATTGTGTTCGCTAATGAATTATGTACTTAATTTCTATATTCATGCATAGCCACAATAAAACACGAGGATCATTTTAAATGCATGGATGAGAATAGCAGAGTTCAAAGATAGATCGGTTTTGCATGATTAGGAATATATATAGAAGAAAATAAAATAAAGGGAAAAATACAGTTATATTTCTAAATTATTTCCTAATAAACACTTTTGTCCTTCTATTTCGAGAAATTACTGTGATGTCCTTGACTTTTTCTTCAAACTATTACATACTTTTGTTCGAAAAGCAGTTGTTAGGCTGACTTGTTGGACGAAATATGTTCACTTTATGGAAGTAAAATGCTACTTGATATTGAGTTTGTAGCAAATGTTAGAGACATTATAGTAATTTTTCAAAAATAAATGAACGAAAATATTAATTAGGATATAATTTAAAAACTCAAATGTATTTTACCCTAAATATAAGCACGTATGAAAACAAACAACCAAAATGAATTAATCAATTGAAGAAAAGGGTTCTTTTCATCAAATTCAATATCAAAAATAGATTTTGATCTGGCTTTAATCATTTTTGCTCTAACAATATATATTATATTCTTTTTTTTTTTTTTTTTTGAATTAAATATAAGCACGTAAGAAACAAACAACCAAAAATGAATTAATCAATTGAAGAAAAGGTTCTTTTCAAATCAAATTCAATATTCAAAATAAGATTTTGATCTGGCTTTAAATCATTTTTGCTCCTAAACAATGATATATTATAAGTTCTTTTTTTTTTTTTTTTTGAATATAAATTCCAATGTTTAATTGACACAATGGAAAAAGTCTATATATTCTCAAAACGTACTTTTCATGTTCAATTTATTCTATAAAATCTATAGGTTACCAAATTGATTATTTCTATAATAAAAAATTATAGGGAATTAAATCAAAACGATTTTACTATAATGTTTTTAAAAATATTGAGGTAAGGCGCAAATAAATATTTGTCGAAAATTGCTGATTTGGTTAAAATCAGAATCAGTTGAAGGTGCAGAACAGGCTACAGGTTGGTAATGATTCTGTGCAGCATGTTTGCGGCAAAGCTGTCCAAAATAATAAACATTAGGCGAGTCAAGAAATGGCCCAAAATCTAAATAAAAGGCCATGAATCAATTGCTTGTCAACCAATGTGTCCATTCCTTAAGTTGGGCCATTAGAGAGGGACAATATGAAGGCCCAAGGTAGCTTTAGATAACATGCTTTAAATCATCGGATTTGCACTTATGATGTTACAATGTGTTACTAAATTTCTAGCAGGTCTCGATTCCCATGGATTTTGTTGCAAATCCTGTATCATCTGTTGTAATATATCTTTCTGCTATTATTTTATATATAAGTCACAAAAAAGACGATTATTGATGTGTTGAGTCCATTATTTTCGGCGTCAGAGCAAATCCGAGGAGTTTCTTTCAGATATTGAACATCTCGATTCTTACATAATACACCTCATTTTTTTTTTTTTTTTTTTGAATTAAATTCATTTTATTGACACATGGAAAAGTCTATATATTCTCAACGTACTTTTCATGTTCAATTTATTCTATAAAATTTAGGTACCAAATTTGATTATTTCTATAATAAAAAATTAGGGATTAAAATCAAAACGATTTACTAATAATGTTTTAAAATATTGAGGTAAGCAATATAAATATTTGTCGAAAATTGCTGATTTGTTAAAATCAGAATCACTTGAAGTGCAGAACAGGCTACAGGTTGGTATGATTCTGTGCAGCATGTTTGCGCAAAGCTAGTCCAAAATAATAAACATTAGGCCGAGTCAAGAATGGCCCAAATCTAATAAAAGGCCCATGAAATCAATTGCTTGTCACATTGTCATTCCTAGTTGGGCCATTAGAGAGGGACAATATGAAGCCCAAGGTAGCTTTAGATAACATGCTTTAATCATGGATTTGCATATGTTACTTGTTACTGGATTTGTTGCATCCTGTAATCCTTTTTTTTTTTTTTAAAAAAAAAAAACGATTACTTGGTGTGTTAGTCATTATTTTGGCTCGAGCAACCGGTCAGATATTGACATCTCGATTTAAAACACCTCATAGAGCATATTGACTCCCGAGTACTAACGAGAGACATTGCTTGCTTCCTATAGGATCGTAGCGTTGCGGTCTTTAATCCACGACAGTAGAGCCTGGCTCTTAGACAGAAGAATCAATATCCGGATGATCAACGTCTTTACCACTAGAGGCAGTGACTATATAGTTGCAATCCAAATTATGGTGGTATATATTTAACAAAATTTAATTTTTTATATAACTTAAATAATCTAATAAATCCTCTTAACTAAGTTTAAACCTTTAAATTAGTTTGATCTTAATTATTCCTTTTAACTTGTCTAATTAATCCTTCTAAATACTAACTTGATATTTGTGATAGTGTAAGTATTCATTATTAGGGTAAATAACTCTTTAATTCATTAAAATTGATTATAATTGTAATTTCATATTTTTTACAAAAGAACTACGTAGTGTAAGGGAAGTAAAGGACAGAGAAACGTTAAAGTATTTGAAAAAAAAAAAGACGAGAATGGACTAATGCATTATGGCATATGCAAGAATGTGTATACGTTTTTTAATAAATTTATTTTAAAACTTTTACACTTTAATTATCATTAATTTAAAATATTAAAAACTTGTAGTTTTTTAAAAATTATTTAGTTATTAATTAATGTCAAACACAACCTATGAAGATTGCTAATTTGCCAATCTAACCAAAAAAAAAAAACAGAAAAAACTAACTTTGAAGTACTAAAATATAACTTTAGATCGTCTAAAAAAAAAACTTTAGATAATAGGAGTATTTTATATTTTATTGATAAAAATAATAAATAAATTAGAGGAAAAAAAGGAAAAAGAAATTGTTTATCTCGTGGATCAAAGGATCCATGTCTAAAGCCTTCTTTCTCTTAGAAATTTTAACAGAAATTCTCTCTCTTCTCGCGTTGATGAGGAGGTGAGAAAGGGGAAAAGGCCTTCAATAGCGGTTTTTTCTAAAATTCCCTTTTTCTCTTCCTAGAAAGAGAAAAGTTAAAGTTTTTTTCTTAGGAAATTTTTTATTTTCTATCCAAACAAACAGACAAAACAAATAAAAAATTTAAAAAAATTTAAAATCAGAAATTTTTTTTTTTTTTTGTTTCAAAAAGAAAAAGAAGAAAAGCGAAATCATTTTTTGACCTTAAAATAATTCAAAATATCTCTTTCGCTGTCTACTCCGGTCACTGTTTGCTTTTTTATATAATTGTTATTATATAATATATTATAATCCCATTGGAGAAGGGAAAGAAAGGGAATCTCCTTCTCCTCCTCCACCTCCTCGTCTGCCTCATCTTCTCGTTCTTTCTAGTGTTTAATTTTTCTTTGTTTTGGAATATCTAGATGTTTGTTTCTCTGTCCAGAATTTGCAGGTTAAGATCTGCAATCAGATGCTGTAAATCCCTCTGATTCCAGGTTAGATTTCTATTATCGTTTTCTCTTCTATTAATCATAAGTTTTTATAGATCTATATTTGTTTTGTCACTTCTGTACAGATTGGATTTGATTGCTGTTAAAATTTTGAGTTTTTAGATCTTTATATCTGTTTGCCTAAATTTGTTTCCCCTGTTGATCAGGGATTCTTAGGGTTCATAGCTGAACATTTTGAAATTTTGATTGCAGATTTGGGTGATATCAACTGGGTTGGTAATAGATTTTGGTAGGGTTTGGAGGAATTGAATTAATTTGATAAGAGACCTGGGATTGAGCAATTTTGTTACTGTCGGCTGGTTCCCTTTTATTGAGTCCAAGGAATGTCGCTGCTGCTAAAAGGCGATTCTATCCAGATTCGCGAGGTGTGGAATGACAATCTTGAAGAAGAATTTGCTCTTATCCGTGAAATTGTTGATGATTTTCCATATATAGCTATGGACACGGAGTTCCCAGGCATCGTCTTGCGCCCTGTGGGCAATTTTAAGAATAGCAATGACTACCATTATCAGACCTTGAAGGATAACGTTGACATGTTGAAGATGATTCAATTGGGTCTTACATTTTCAGATGAGCAAGGGAATTTACCCACATGTGGAACTGGCAAGTTTTGCATTTGGCAGTTCAATTTTCGTGAATTCAATGTGAATGAGGATGTGTTTGCAAACGACTCAATTGAACTTTTGCGCCAAAGTGGGATTGATTTTAAGAAGAATAATGAGAATGGTATCGATGCAATGCAATTTGGTGAGCTCTTGATGTCATCAGGGATTGTATTGAATGACAGCGTACATTGGGTGACTTTCCACAGTGGCTATGATTTTGGCTACTTGCTCAAGCTCTTGACATGCCAGAATTTGCCTGACACACAAGTGGGATTCTTTAACTTGATCAATATGTACTTCCCAACCCTATATGATATCAAGCATTTGATGAAGTTTTGCAATAGTCTTCACGGCGGGTTGAACAAGCTTGCAGAACTGTTGGAAGTGGAGAGAGTTGGGATATGCCATCAAGCAGGTTCTGATAGTTTGCTCACAGCTTGTACATTCAGGAAATTAAAGGAGAATTTCTTTAGTGGCTCCTTGGAAAAGTATGCCGGTGTGTTATATGGTTTAGGTGTTGAGAATGGACAGAATACTCATTGACTATAAAAAAAAAAAAAATTCTAAAAAAAATTATGATTAGAAAGGTGCACATTCAATAGTATTTGTGTGCTAGACAGCCGCAAGTTATGTACACTTTTGTTATGAAGCTTCCTTAATTTATGAATATTTTCATATTTTTACTAGTTGTCTTGCTTTCTGCGTGACCATCAGTCTCTCACCCTTTTGTGTACCTTGCGTTTTAGTTTCTGTTTATCGCCAATTAATGCAATTCTTTTTCATGGCAGATATGCATAATTTACAGGGTGAATGATATTATGATGTTGATGGTTCTGTTTCTCACTTTGAACTACAAAGGTTTCCTGCTTCCCTCTATGAACTATTATGCAACTTTTAGACAAGCTAAGTGATGGTTGAGGGGCATGTTTCTTGTTGGTTAATTTAGTGCTTAATATACGAACCGTCTCTCTTTTCATATGTTGTTAATATATCAAGTATTTCATATGTGTCATTCTTGCTTTGTTTCGACTTTTTAGGTTTGGCACGTTGCAACACATTGCAGTTCCTTTGACGATTTAATCAATATTTTCACATAAAACATGAGACCAATTTGGTGGTGGATGGTACATCAAATTGGTGCTTCTTTGTAAGGGCACATCATTGCAACATCTACATATACAACCATCAAGAGTAATCTTTATTCATTAATTTGAACTTTCATATAATTTCATTGTTTTTATAGTCGTCCCCTCTCTTTTCAGGAAGTTCCTATTGTAGTTTAAGAACAAAGAAAACTTTCGTGGTTTTAGTGTTTGATACAATAACAATAATAACAGCCAAGCTTTAATTCAAACTAACATGAGTCCTTTCCTCCATTCTGGTCTTTTGAGACAATTTCTCTCTGTGTGGTTTTAGATCTAACTCTTCTTCTTTTAATGCCTTCTCCCATCAAGCGCACTTATGAATCATGGCATTTGGAGGTCATGGCACTTGGAGGTCTACATAGGACATGATCAAACTGTTTCAAACATTATTCTCTCATTTTATCTCAACATATGCTACTTTCATCTTTTGTAGGATGTGATCGTTTCTAATTTTGTCCAATGTTGTATGGCCACAAATCCACCTTTAACATTCATAATTTTGCAACATCATCCTGTGAATATGTTGGATCTTAGAAGCCCAATGTTGTTGGTCTCACCATTTTTCTATAAAACTTAATTTTCACTTTGTTAGATATCTTCCTATTGCGAAGCATAGGGAGTGAGTAATTCTTAGTTTCTAACAACCAACCGAATCAAACAGATTTAATTCAGTCGGATTCAGATAGTTGTTTTAGGAATTCAGTTATTGGTTGGTTTGAGCATATAAAACCATTTTGTTTTGGGTTTTTGGTTTGATTATCATGTATAATTAACCGAATTTATTTTAAGTCCAAAATAGCTAATTTAGTTTGGAATAACTGAATCTAGATAGAAACAAACTAATTTAATTCGGTTTGGATCGGTTATTGTTCCATTTGGTTTCGGATTTGGATACCATAAAAACATATTCGGATAAACCGAAAATGACTTAATTCGGTTTGGTTTGGTTGGGTTTGAATGCTCACCCTAGCGAAGCATACCCATAGCAGCACTCCTCCATTTCTTCCATTTTGTTTTAATTTTATGGTTTTAGTGTTTGACAATTAATAAAACATTGCTATGGAGGATTAATTCAATTTGTTGTTTCTTGGTGTATCTAACTTTCATTTGTTCTTCATATTTCCTACTCCATGCAATGTTTTAGTTGGTCCTGTGTCATTATGGTGACTTTGATTGTGGATTGGCTAGGTTTTGTCTTTGTAGGGTTATTCATCTCTCACCCACTGTTATTGCTTAGAAAAATCATTGTTTCAGGTAATTTTAGTACTTTTGCATTTCTATAAAATATATATCTGTCGTGCTTGATATTTTATGAATGTAAATTTAATAGCATCCGGAGATTTTCAGTTATCAGTTTCAGTATCCTGTTGCCCTTCATCTCGGTCTACCTTTTTAAAAACAGAACAGTTTTTATTTATTATTTTTACTGATTGTATGGATGTGGATATATTTCATTTCCATTCTCATCATGTTTGCTGCGTCATATCATTAGTTCAGGCACTTATCTCTGTTTTTTCTTTGCAGTTTGATTTCTTTGAAAATTGGATTGACCTTTTGAGCCTCGCTTATAGTGTCTTTACTCTGGAAAGTGATGTTGGAATCAGATTGAAAAGTAAATTTAGTTTCATAGTTTTGAATAGAACAAACACCAGCTCAAGTTGTTGGCCTAGAGTATTGTGTTAGAGAACTGCATTTCTTAATTACTTGTTTCGTTGGATAAGGGATTCTGAGACAAAAAGTAATTTTTGCTCTCATTTTTTTTTTTTTTTTTTAATATCATTGTTTTTCAGGTGAATTTTAGTAGCTTTTGGGCATTTCTATATTATGAAGATATCAGCATATATCTGGATCGTCGCTTGATATTTTAATGAAATGTAAATTTATTAGGAATAGTCATCCGAGATATTCAAGTTTTATTATCATGTTAGTGTCAGTGATTCAAACTCGCTTAGCGGCCCTATACATCTTCGAGGTCTATCCAATATTCTTTCTAAAGAACAGTTTTTTTATTAATACTACTCTAATATTTTTTACTTGAGATATGTTAATAATGCGAAGTTGTATGCGATTATAAGTACATTTCCCATTCTCATCAATGTTTGCTTTGAGACGCTCCATCATCAAATATAGTGTTTCAAGGCCCACTATCATCTGTTTGTCTCATTTGCAGTTTTGTTGATTTTGCTCTTGAAAATTGGATTTGACTTTCGGAGACCATCCGACTCTATAGTGTTCTTTACTCTGGAAAAGGAGTTGGGAATGTTTGCGCACATCAAGGAATTGGAAAATGTAAAATTTAGTTCATATGAGTTTCTTAGAAATAAGGAACAAACACTGTGCATGAAAGCTCAAGTATGTGCCTAGTAGTAAAACTTGTGTGTTAGAGAACTGCACATTTCTTAAAATTACGTTATGATTTCGTTGGATAAGGGATTCTGAGAAAAAAGTAATTTTTAGCATCTCATCGTCTTTTTTTTTTTTTTTTTTTGATTTCATTCTTTTGTCTTACTGCTGTTATCAAAAGAGAGGTTGAAGGAATCTGGGCTAATGCGAAAGGATAATAGTTTATTGACGAATACCATTAGTGAAGTTAAGGGATTGACTGTGTGGGTGTACCTCTCCTTGCAATATGATTTTTTTTTTTTTTTTTTTGATTTCATTTCTTTTTGTCTTACTCTGTTACAAAATTGAAGGAATTTGTTCAAAATGTTTTGACAATCCATTAGTAAAGGGTGACTTGTTCTTCTTGCAATATGAATGGTGATGGGCTGATAGTTATTTCGCATTGTGGATTTTGAAGCTGTTTCGTAAAACAAAATAACAGTCTTTGGTGTGGAGTATTATGAGTGCTTTGTCAGTTGGAGGTAATTTGCACTGGCCTTTCTTGGTGATTTTGCTTGAAAGATTATTTTAACAGTACTGGGATGGGAAAGAACAATGATGAATAATAATGCTTGTCTATACTTATTAGAAGATCCGTTTAGGAGAATAATACCCACCTTGTTCTTTAGTTTCTTGCTTGTTTTACGTAGTTATTTTAGATTTGCTGTCGCATGTTCTTTAGGGTTTCACTATAATTTTAGTTTGTGGCAGTTGGCAACTTTTTCTTTGCCCTTCTCCCATATTAGTATCTGCTACGAATTGTATTGCCAGATAAAGCAAGTGGATGTTGTTGTGGCCAGTCCTGTATAATGTTGTAATGCATACATTTATGTACATAATTACATATTCGGCTATTCGCTTTCACTGTAGTTCCTTGCTAGTGTATTGATTTAAAATTGTGGAGTCTAACTGAAGCCCCAAGTATGCTTATCAATAACTTGTCCTTCTTGTTTCCTGCATTGTTGTTTGTAATTAATCTTAAGGTACTTGTTGAGACTTCAGAAACAAGATGACTGCTAATTCTTCTGCTCGGTAATGATTCATATTTCTAGTACCTTATTTTTCCGATGTAATTGTGCCTGTCAGATAGCAACAGATAAGGTGCAAGCATCAACATATCAATGGCTAGGAGAGAGCAAGGGAGGTTCCACCTATTTGCAGAAGAACAAGTGACAGAGCTTTCTTGAGGTAACTTGTATAATTATTAATCTCCTTTAGGTGGAGTAATTGACAATTCACCCAAATTAATTTGTCTGTTGCTGTCTCTTTCGTGAATTTCTTTTAGCAGTAATATGATATAACAGACATGCATTTGTGCACGTCGGAGTTAAAAGGATTTGTATATGACGAATGGAGAGAGCACAAATTTACCAAATGCTCTGACTACTAGGATTTGAAGGTTGCATTGTGAAAGATATATTCAAGTCCAACAAGGAACATAAGCTCCTAGCAATTGAGAAGGATCTCTTACAGGTAGCATCTGGCATTTTTTTTGCTAGTTCTTTGTCCAGTGCCAATGGTACCAGAAGTCCATTTCCAGATGAAAATTGTACCAAAGGCCAGCTGAGATGCAGCAGGATTTTGCATACAATAAATGAAAAAGTGTAACATCTTCATCAATTAGTGGGTAATCATACTGGTTGCAGAAAATGTAATGCTTTATTAACTATTGGTGCACCATTAAGAGCCTGTGTTGGCATCGAGTGTAGAGCTACATTTTTGTAAAAATATTGTTCTGATGTTGTTGGAAATAAGAGGTCTTTGCACGAACTTTATGCATGCCTAGAAGGCAAGAAAACAGAGGGAAATTTCTAAAGGGACGGGGAAGAAAAGGTACAGAATTTTGGCAAACTAAGAAGTACCTTGGCAAAAAGGATATATATATATATGTGTGCAAGAAAATGTTATGCTTGATATAATTTGAACAGTGATAACATTCACTTACAGAAAACTAATACCTTTATTTATGTTATATGTCTTCATTAATAAGTGTACACCAATAAGATCAAATCTATACATTTTTTAAAAATTCTCATCTAAGGTCTCTAATCAATTAAAGAAAATTAATATTCATTAATTTTTATTGTTAGGTGATTATAGTGATAATCAATAAAAAAAAACATTCTACAACATTTTATTGGAAAATATAAAATGTTAGAGTGTGTTCAGTTGTAGAAAAATGGAGTAGTTTTTTATAACAATTTTTCAAGAAAATTGAAAAACAGAATTTTATGTTCAAATCAATTAATTTTCTATTTGGAAAATTAGAAAACGGTTTTCCAGTTTTCCAAAATTTAACTAGGATTTTAATTTGTTTTCTAGAATTTTTCTTTATAATAAAAGATATGTTTTTAATTGTTTTAAAAAATGACATTTTCATAATTAAAATTATTATATCTGTAAATAATTTTTTCTATAAAATTAGATTATTTTATTTATCATAGTAATTGTTTAAATTTGTTTATAGGAAGGACCATCGAATATATAGTAGATAGATCAATAGAAAAAAAACTTTATTTCAGAGGAGTATATATTGGAAAATATTAAATGAATTAGAGTGTGTTCAGGTTGTATGAAAAATGAGAGTAAGTTTATGTTAATAACAATTTTTCAAGACACAATTGAAAAACAGAAATTCTTAATGTTCAAACTCAACTATAATTTTGCGTCTCTATTAGAGAAAAATTAGAAAACGGATTTTCCCATGTTTTTTTCGCGAAGATTTTTACTAATATGGAGTTTTTTAACTTTTGGTGTTTTTTATAGAATTTTTCTTTTATAATAAACAGATATGTTTTTAATTTGGTTTTAAAAAAAATGAGAGTGGTTCTCTTGCATAAAATAAAAAAATAATTATATCTGTAAATAAATTTTTATCTATAAAACTGAGATTTTATTTATTTGCATAAAAATAAAAATGATTAAAAAAAAATAATTTATAATTTACTGCTTTAAAATAAATAATTAATTTTTATTATTAAGTAAATAACACTCACTTATATATTTTAAAAAACACTCTACAAAAAATAATAAAATGATTTTATTTAATTATTTTGAGGCACAATAAAATTTGATAATGAAAATTTTTGGTAAAAAACTCTTTATCATCAAAAAACTTTTTAAATTATTTTTATATTAATGAAAAAGAGTTTATGTAATAATTATTTGCAAGAAAGAGCTTGCTCTAAAATTTGAGATAAATGAGTCAATATTATATAGTTGCCTTTATATATATAAATTATCAAGTATGAACAACTCGAGTTGTTTTGCAACAAATTATTATGTTTAGTTTCTCTATTGTGCAGCTTTTATTCTATTTTGTAAAAAAATCGGCATCTGTTTTTTAAAGTAGAAAAACCGACAAAAAATTTTAAGAAAGGCCACCACAGGAAAACTTTTTTCTATAAGTAAAAATTTTTTTCTACTTAATGGGCCACGTAGCACAAGAGGCACCGCATGCACTGAAGTGCTTATAATATTAAATTATGGTAAGTTTGACTTGAGCGTTTCCTTTAGTATTTTCCGCAAGCAAAATTAGTTTTCCATCCTTTTTCTCTTTAAAAAAAAAAAAAACATAAAATAAAAATTTACATAACTTTCTACATTTGGGCCTATATACAGGCCATCTGGGTTCTAAAAAGGCACCCGAGTCGAGCCAGACATCAATTAAATTGGTAAAAGTTAACAGAGAAGAACATTACGAGTCACAAACCCTAATCGTAGAGGATACCCGCCTAAAACTTCTATTATAACTTCAATCATGGGCCCTTATCTTAGCTCCTCGTTAAGGGAATTAATTTAGCAAATATCGTAGTTAATTTTAAGTGACCAAAGTACTCTTCCTTCCAATATACAACAATAACTCAAATATAAAACTGAATACAATTAATTAAAAAATGGCCAAGGAAAGCAGTAAAGAAATCGGCAACGACAAGAACACAAGCTGCATTGTCTCATAATTGCTAGAGAAAGGAGCGGTCCGTCAACACAAAGACTGAGTGGCCTCAAAACGGATGCCCCGGGCCTCTTTTTTTATAAGGATAAAAAACGCACCCCGGGGGCCTGCCTGCCCGCCCCTTGGAGGGCGGCGTCCCGCCCATTAGGCTGGGCCGGGCCGGCGCTGTCCTTGAGGGTGGCAATTGGTCCGACCCCAGCGGGCTGGACAATGCCATGCGTGCCTTTTTTTTTTTCGTTCCGGAGAGCTTTTTCCGGGAGTTTCCGGACTCCAAAAAATATTCCGAGACCACAGTTCCGTGATCCTCGTATTTTTTCGGACATTTCAAGTACCATATGTGGCACACTTCTGGTGAACTTTATTTTTTTTTTTTTTTTATTTTTTTTTTTTTTTTTTTTTTTTTATTTTTTTTTTTTTATTTTTTTTGTTTTTTTTTTTTTGTTTTTTTTTTTTTTTGTTTTCTTTTTTTTTTTTTTTTTTTTTGAATGACCTCCCGGTCCGACCGATACTGTTTGCAAGTCCGAAGGAATTGGCTCTTTGAAAGCAAATTTAGGTGTTCACAGACCCTAGACTCTTAAGGCTTTGGACTTTTGTTGTTTTTCCCTTATTTTTGCTTTTTTTGTTTGGGATTTTGAACTGTTGACTTTTGGGATTTTTTGGATGTATGTTTTGTTTTATTTTTTTGACTGAGACTCTCATTATTTATTTTATTTTCTTTGGACCTTTGCTTTCCATTCCTTAACTTCGGACTGCTGACTTTAATTTATTTTATATTATGAAAGTTATGAATAATATTTGTGAAGTTAAATTAAAATATAATTTTTTATTATTATCAAGTGAACATATTTTCCATTTTGTGTTTTATAGTTTTCATTTTGTAAAAAACCTGTTTTCTTAGAAAACAAAAAATAGAAAACAGAAAACTTTTCTAAGTAAACACTCCCCACACCCTTGATTTCCTTTGTATTTTCCGCAAAGCAAATTAGTTTTCCTTTTTTTTTAAAAAAAAAAAAACAAAAAACAAAATCTACTTTCTACAAATTGGGCCATTTACAGGCCCATCTGGAGTTCTAGGCCCGTCGAGGCCGCATCATTATTGTAAGTCAGAGAAGACAAACACAAAACCCTAATTTCAGTACCCTAAAAACCTATTTCAAATCCCTCTTGCAAAACGCAGCCTCTTCCTCTTCCTCATTCTCCCCAAGAACACAGCTGATTCTCTAATTCTACAAAGTAAAAAGAGAAAATGTCAGGGTAAGTAAGTTTTCTTCTTAATTACTATTGGATTCATATTAATCAATTATGTTAAAATCTTTGATTAATTGACTTGAAACCGATCGATTGCTTGATCAGTGAGGAAGCTACCGTTGCTGTTGAGACAGCGGCTCAGCCTCTTGGCGAGGCCATGGATTTGATGACTGCATTGCAGCTAGTCCTTAGAAAATCTCTGGCTCATGGTGGCCTCGCTCGCGGTCTTCACGAAGGTGCAAAAGTGATTGAGAAACATGCTGCTCAGCTCTGCGTATTGGCTGAGGATTGCAATCAGCCTGACTATGTTAAACTTGTCAAAGGCCTTTGTGCTGATCATGGCGTTAGCCTCTTAACTGTTCCCAGTGCTAAAACCCTTGGCGAGTGGGCCGGGGTGAGTATTACTCATAAACCCATTTACTTTGAATTCACTCCAAGTATTTTCAATTAAATCAACTCTGGCGTTTTTGTTAATAAATTCTATAGAATGGACATGATCTTTGTTTTAAAGATACCAAATTTGTTATTATATAATTAACATCAATGAACATAGTTGTAAGCTTCATCAATGTAAGCGCAAGGTTTATAGGCCTATTGTTTTATATGATAGGATAAATAAAATGCATGTTTGGGTTTCTCATTTAAGTGAAAATTGATTTCTCAAGTCGTGATTTTTGTGAAAGATCTGTTAAACAGAATAGAAAATAAGCCAAATATTTAGCATCCTTGGTTCCATCAATTATGATTTTTGTGTAATATAATAGTCATTTGTATAATGTCTCGGTGCAAGGTTGTTTATAATTGGTCATGTGGTCTTAGAGATGTGCTTTCTTAATTGGCTGTTGAAGTACCTTGATATTTACATCATAAAGCACTAATTAATTGTTTAAGTCGCATAAGGCACTAAATAGTTTATGTGTTTCTGTTTCCTGTCTAACTTAACATGATTCTAACGATATCTATTGTTGTACTTCTTAGGGTGACGACTCTAATACTTTTCCTACTTAGAACTTGGTGGATTTTCAATTATTGCTTTAAGATGCGCTGTGTCATTTTAGCTATCTACTTTTTCTCTTCAAATATACAAAGTGTTCCTTTTTCATCTTAATGATTTCATACTTCTAGGATGTTTTGATCTTGTTGCATTAGGTATCACAGCTTTTCTCCCTTAGGGACTTGAAAAGATTTGCAAATTCTATTTAATGTTATCTCATAATTTTTTCCTTGGTTCCTTGTGGCAGTTGTGTAAGATTGATTCTGAGGGCAAGGCCAGGAAAGTAGTTGGTTGCTCTTGCGTCGTAGTTAAGGTGCATGTCTATTTCTGGTTAAGCTAATCTCTCTGTTTTCCATCTACTTGTATAAGAAAGTTAATCTTTGTTTCTGTTGCTTGTTTTGCAGGATTATGGTGAGGAGACTGAAGGTCTTAACGTTGTTCAGCAACACATCAAGTCTCACTGAGCAACAGTGTATTTGATTTATTGGGATCTAAATTTTAGTTTATACGTAGACCTTCTTTTAATGTTTTCATGATACCCTCCTGTGGGGTTTTTGAGTGTTTGCTAGATGCAGTTGCTAGCAAATCAGTTGTGTCGCATTATTTTGGTTGAACATTTTGTCTTGATATATGAAATGCAGAAGTAGCACCATTTTGAGTCTTTGAAATCAATGCTATGGTTGATTGCTTAGATGATGTAATGGCTGAGAGCAGGGCGGTTATCATCTTAGCATATTAATCTTGCGTTGGAGTTTTCTTTTGGCATGCACATATAAATGTATCCTTGTTATTGATGATTAGGAATGGAATTCTTTCCAGCAGTTTAGGTTTGGCCAAACGGCTGTCTCCAGTCAAATATGCTAGTTCGTATGAAAATGCCATTTCTGTCTCCTCTGTTCTTTCCCTCTTCTGCTGCTCTTCCTTTGTCCTCTTTGAGGTATTAAGTTGTCTAAAGAAAAAGTTGAACTCTATGCCACTTCCTGTGATCAAGAGCGCTTGTTTCCAGCCACGAAGATGAAGTGTACGTTGCGCATATCTTTGTCAACTTAAATTGAATCATAGTTCTTGTCTTGGTTTAAGTTCACTTTTTCTTTCAGTTCTTATTATAAATTGTTTGTTATAAATTCTGCTTTAAATTCAATTTTTTGCTTTCTGATCGACACAACCATGTTTTCCACATACTAGCATTTGAGGAGAGAGACAGAGAGGGGGTAAAAGTGCAACTATTTCATATCCATTTAATGGGAAAAGTGACAGAAGGCCTAAAAGGTGCAGCGGATTCAAAATAAAATAATTATAATGAATTTTTCAAAATATAGGTCATTGCTAGTGTATTTGATTATAATTTGGGACAAAATAGTATGTGAAAAATTACAATGATTTAGTTCAGTGTTTCTTATACAATTTTATTTTCAGAATCAAACAGATTGAGTGATTCCATTTAGTTGTACATAGTTTAGTTTTGGTTTGACTTACAAAAAAAATCTAATTCAGTTTCTAAACTGATGGTAATTACTCTGCTTTCATTTATTGATTTCCACAATATGGTTAAGTGGGACATTCTCAAAGGTGTAGTTTGCTGGATGTGATAAAGGAAATTTATTGGATTATGACAAAACCAAAAAAAAAAAAAAAAAAAAAAAAAGGTTGTAGTTTGCGTGGATGTGATAAAGGAAATTTATTGGATTATGACCAAAAAAAAAAAAAAAAAAAAAAAAAAAAAAAAAAAAAATTAATGAACCAAAAAATTATTTAATCATATTTAATTACTTTGAGACCTCATTGCTAACACAGCTTGTGCTCAAACCTTTTTTGCCTCTCAAACGTGTAACATGCAATTTCTTCTTCTAATTAGGAAACAAAATTAAAATTGCCTGTTTATTATTATTAAGAGCAGATGGGTTAAATAAGTTCTTTTACCTAATGCATGAAAATTTCGAGTTAAGTAGATGGAAAAACCTCAAGCATGGTGCTAAGTTGTTCTTGACTACTGAAAAAATATATATGTCCAACAACAATTATTTATTTTATTCAGCGTAGATGTAACAGAAATACTATGTTATTATTTTAATAACATTACATATAATATTAATAAACAAAACGTAGTTTGATTGTAATTGGGTTTCGTTCTTCCACTTTGGACTTTCGTGGAAAACATTTTCATGTAGAAAGCAACCGTCGGGGACTAAACGGTGTTGACATAATAAAGCAGAGAAATTTCAATTTCACACCCAGCACAGAATTTTCCCTCTGAAGCTTGACTTGAAACCAAGTCAAGGCACCAATAAAATGGCAATGAGTGAAACGCAAAGTTTATTTCTTTTCTTCTTCCCTTTCTCTCCTCCATTTTCTGTTGATTGCAGAGGTAAATTTCTGCTTCTGTAATTCTATTTTATTTTTATTTTCTTTCATTTTTGGCTTTTATTTAAATGATTGTGAAGTGGGTTGCTTGCATTGTATTTGTTCAGTTGTTTATACGTAGTAGTACTTTCATTTCTGGTTGATTTTTCTGAAGTGGGTATGCTTCTGTTTTAATTTTTAAGTTTTAAATGGCTGGAAATTCTACTTACCAATGTTTTTTTTCCTTTTATATTTGTTGCTTCTTTGCAATCTTAAATATATCTTACATTAGGACTTCTTTCACAATACAGTAAGCAGTAAGAACTACTAAAGTTTCAAATTTTACCTTTTTTTTTCCAATATGCTTTCATGTAATGTGGCTGTAATTAGATGGAAAGACAAGGCAAATAGATGCCACATCTTGTTTCTACAATTGAATTGACATGGATATCTCTGTTTGGGTAAGAAAATAACAAGAAATTAGTAAGTTTTAGTGGGGTAATCTATAATTTTCAGTTGAGTGATGTTTGAGCTTCATAAATTAATAGAGATACAGAACGGCTTTTAAAAATCTAGATATAGCCAAATTATACGTTCTCTGGTTTGAAATACCACAATTCATTTTGTAGAAGTTTGGTGATAGGGAGTTATGACCTCCTCTAGCTCCCAAGTGGTTATGCTCTGTGACTGCGAGCACTGGGCTTGACCAGCCTTCACAGCACCTCCCCTGTTCATTTATATTTTTTGCTCAAGGAAATTGTTTGTTTGTGCAGGATTACAAAGTTTGCTTGTAATTAAGTTTGGATCTTCTGGATTTTGCATAATTGTTATTATTGTTTTTAACCTTTTCTTCTATGGGGTATACATGCATGTTGTATATCGTTGATTCTTAGCAAAGGAATCTATCTGAAAAAATTATGCAATTTATATAATTTGACACTGTCCATTTTGGGTGTGGTTTCATCAGAGGATTTGACATAAATGGCACTGGAGCTCATACCCATAGGAACAATATTGGCTGTGCTAACAAACCAGGTCCTGAAAACAGCTCAGGCTGCAAAGGATGTTGTATTTGAGAAGGAAAGTTTCAAGGTTCTGTCGAAGCATCTATTTGATATTGAACCTGTGTTGAAAGAATTGCAGCTTCAAAAATTGAATGATTCTCAAGCTGCTAGGCTAGCACTTGAAACACTTGAAGCAGATGTTAAGAAGGCAAATAACTTGGTGGAGAGATATAAAAATCGAGCACGTTTCTACTTACTGGTGAAGTGCCGGCACATTGTTAATGAGGTACAAGAAGTCACAAGGGATATTGGAAGGTCTTTGGCTGCACTATCTCTTGCAAATACTGAAGTTCTAGCAGGGATATCCGACCAGTTGGCTAGGCTGCAAAATGAAATGCAAAGGGTTGAATTTGAAGCATCATATTCTCAGCTCCAAATTGTTGACAAGTTAAACCAAGGTCTTCGTGATCAAAAACTTGATCAGGGTTTTGCAAATGACATGCTTGAAGAAATTGCCCGTGCTGTTGGGGTACCGGTAGAACCTTCAGAAATAAGCAAAGAGCTAGCAAGCTTTAGGAAGGAAAAAGAAGAAGCTGCAAACCGGAAAGAAAGAGCTGAGGTTCTCTTCTTGGAGCAGGTTATTGAGTTGCTTTCCCGAGCTGATGCTGCCAGGGATTTTGAAGAAGTCAAAAAGCAATACTTTCAAAGGGTTCAAGTTATAGAGCGGTACGATGAGGAGGAGGAACATATAGCTCCTCTTACTCCTTTTCTTTGTTGTATAAATGGCTCTGTGATGAATGATCCTGTTAGCCTTTGCACTGGCACTACATGTGAGAGAGCTGCCATTGAAGCTTGGTTTGACTGTGGAGAGATAACTGACCCAGAAACTGGTCAGATTCTTGAGGACAGAACTTTGAGGTCAAACCTTCCTCTTAGACAATCAATAGAGGAATGGAGAGAACTGAATTATTGTCTTAGAATCAGAGCTTGTAAGGCAAAGTTGTTGTCACATGTGGACTCCTCTGTGGAAGAGGCTTTAAGCCAAATGCAGGATCTTGTTAGAGAAAATTCTATAAACAAGGAATGGGTCTCTATAGGAGGCCTAACAGATATTGTCATATCTATCCTTGGGAATTCCCATAACAAAAATGTAAAGAGGAAGATTTTAGTTACTTTAAAGGATTTTGTTGAAGGACATGCAAGGAATAAGGTAAGCAGTTATGATAATAGACCTGAAAAAACTGGGGTTATGTATAAATTCTGCTTGAAAACTTAGTTCTCTGACATCCTCCATTTAATGGAATCTTTTTCTACTTTTTCCTATGCTGACACTTGTGGAGCTTCAATGTTATTTTTTTGTAATTGTCCTTCAACTACTATTTTTCTTGTCCACCATAGTCATTAAAATGTGAAGTTGTCAAGTATTAGCTCATGACATTCAGTTTTACATCCTTTATATTCAGAAAGTCATATTGATTATATGAGAACATGCGCAATATGCAAATTAATCCTTGGTACTAAATTCAATTGTCTGAATCAAATGTAGGAAAAATTGGTCAATTGTGAGGGGCTAGATCACATTATTCCCTGCTTGGTGCGTGACTCAAGCATCTCCAAGGCTGCAGTGGAATTGTTATTTGAGTTGTTGCAAGAGAGGTCTGGCTGGAACGTATCTGTTTGCAGGAAACTTTCTCAACAGTGCAGTTCAATTCTTTATCTCGTCACCCTTTTGAATGGTCCAGTCAGGGAATCAGCAATCTATGCAGAAAAAATTTTAAATAAACTTTTTGAAGTTGATGAGGAGAATATTTCCTGTGCTGCAAAATCAGGCTGGTATAAGCCACTTGTTGATCGGATTATACAAGGTTAGAGAACCATTTCCTTCTATATTGTCTGAATGTCATCCATTTTCTTTGTTTCAAATTTATTTGCAATTAATGTCATCTCTGCTTGGAAAAAGACGCATTTTTCTGCTAAATCCTATGGACCTGAAAATTTTTGCAGTGCTTGATAGCTTATTTTAATCTGTGCTTTTTCATCTAAAAAAGGTGAATTACTGTTAGTCCCTGTATTATAGTGTAGTATACTAGTCAATATCTCTATTTTGAAAAATTAATTTCATAGTCCATGTATTTTGCAACAATTCAATTATAGAGTCCTTCCACTAATTTTTCTGTTAAAATCAAATAAAATAACAACGTTGTCCTTGATCCAATTGTAAATTTTCTTTTTCTACCATCAAATGAAACCAACCTCAAGGTATAATTTATTCTCTCTTCTCCACTCCACCATAACAACAATAACAACTTAGCCTTAGTCCCAAACTAGTTGGGGTCAATTATATGAATCATAAAAAGAAAAATCATAAACAGAAAGTAAACACAAATAAAAGGAAAAATCATAAAAAAAAGGAAATCATCTCACCAGAAAAACTAGAAAGTAGCAATGTAAATCACAACTTGATCTGCAACTCCATAAAAGAAGAAAAAAAATGTTTGACTGAAAGAAAAGGATGTCCATGAGATGACTCAAAAAACAAACTAAAAGGTTGCAAAAGGATGAAAAAAGAAGAGGAGGCACCAACCAGAGGGAAATTTTGGAACATCAAATTACCTTTATTAGCTTTTTTTGACTGATTTTTGGTTGACTAACAGAAAAGTATCCAAATCCTAATGGAATGACTATATGGTTGGACAGTAATAAATACTGGAATTATTAAATTGATTTTAGAAAATAGAGGTCCTGACACGATAGCATTGGGACTAAAAAGTAATTTATTCATTATAGTTTTGGCGCCTTTGCAATTTAGGTTTTTATTAGTGTTTTTGGCAAGACATTACCAAAGGAGAACCTATGATTCTGCAAGGTCTTTGAAGCTACTTTGGACTTCCATTCAATTGATTCCACTCTGTCTACTGTTTTTCAGTTAAATGAGTGTAAAAGAATATATACACACACACACTAGAAGCTACTCCATTATTGTTTAGACATTAGGTGAACCTGTTCAAATTCTACATATGACTTAGACATAGTTATACTTTTTTTTTAAAGGTTGAAAACTCTTCTTAATAGGATGCCCAACTTCATTCTCAGCTTTCTTTGTTTTCTATGTGTAGCTAAAGTGCACTATTACCATTATCCTTTGAGGGCAAGTTAGTCACATTGCTCTGATCATTCTGAAAATTTTCAGGGTCAGAATCTTCAAGAATATCAATGGTCAGAGCTATAGTTAATATGGAATTGGTTGATTCAAATTTGAAGTTACTTGGTGAGGATGGGATAGTACCTCCTTTGCTTGAAATGGTGGAATCTGGCAATATTGAATCAAAAGAGTTGTCTTTGTCTGCCTTGGTTAAACTATCTGATTGCAATGCCAATAAAGAGCTTATTGCTGCTGCTGGTGGGCTTCCGCTTGTTTTAAAACTAATGTTCTCTCCCCATATACGAACAATTATTATTGCTAAATGTGCAGAAATCTTTGAGAAATTTTCTTCTCATGATGATGGAATTAAATTCCTTGTTGATGAAAACGGGACCCAGCTTGATCTAGAACCAATTATCACCAATTTGTTAGCTTTGCAACAGGTTCCAAGTTCATCCCATAATGTTCGGAGGCCTGCTTTACGTGCACTTCTAGGTATATGCCAACTTGATTCAGGGTTGGTTAAGATTGCTGTTCTTACTGCCAATGGTGTATCATTGATACTTCCTCTTCTTGATGGTACGGACTCTGAAATTCGTGAAATTGCCATTAACCTTCTCTTCCTGTTCTCTCATCATGAACCACAGGGAGTCGTGGAATACTTGCTTAAGCCAAAAAGGCTCGAGGCTTTGGTGGGATTTCTTGAGAATGATTTTAAGAGTGATGTACAGAAGGCTGCTGCTGGTTTATTAGCCAATCTCCCGAAATCTGAGAAAACACTAACCACGAAGCTAATTGAATTGAATGGGCTAAATGCGCTTATAAAAATGTTACAAACAGGTACAATGGAAGCAAAAGAAAATGCTCTTGGTGCACTCTTCAGGTTCACTGATCCCACAGATCTCGAGTTTCAACGGATTGTAGTTGACCGAGGAGCTTACCCTTTGCTTGTAAATTTGCTCAGAACTGGTTCCATTACAGCAAAAGCGAGAGCAGCAGCACTTATTGGTGATCTTTCGATGAGCAGTCGGAAATTAGTTGTTGTGCCCAAACCAACTGGCTGCTGGTATTATCAGCCAACACGTCGTCATGTATGCCCAGCGCATGCCGGCATCTGCAGTGTCAAATCTACATTTTGTCTAATGGAGGCAAATGCTTTGCCATTCTTGGTAGAACTCCTACATGGAGAAGTTAATGCAACTGCTCATGAAGCGATTCAGACACTCTCCACGCTTGTTCAAGAAGGGTCTCCAGACAGAGGAGCCAACATGTTGCATGAAGCCAATGCTATAAAACCTGTACTGGATATTTTAAGTTGGGGAGCAGATTCTCTTAAAGAAGAGGCTTTGGGATTCTTGGAGAAGGTCTTTTTGTCAAGGGAAATGGTGGAATACTATAAATCAACAGCTAGGCCGCTTCTTGTTAGTCTAACTGGGAGGAACGTTCACGAGGAAAGTCGAATTGGGAGGAAAGCTGCAAAAGTTTTATCACTCCTCGAACGATATTCAAGATCATCAACATCTCTTTTGCCAGGACTATTTGGGTGAAAAGATCTGCAGCCAAGTCTGAACTGATCTCTACTCATCATAATTCAAGAGTGCTTTGTAAATAAATGCTGAAGTCTTTGTTTACTTAATACATCAGTTATATTACTTGGGATCTGATACGGCTAATAATGTTGTGTATCATCGCTGTTACCTTTTCCTATCCCATTTTTTATTACATTAACCTGTACAGAATACAAGCCTATCAAGTATTGGCTGCATCTATTTTTTAGAAATCTCTGTTTTTTTATTTTTATTTTTACTTGAAAGCTAAAATCAGAAAACACTTTAAGATGTTTCTAGCAATGTTTTTAATATCGGACAGGATATTAAGTTCCAAACTTCCTGTCATGGTTGATTTTTAAATATGTTTTTAAAATTATACTCCAAAAGAACTGATATTTTTGCTAATAAACCATCAGACGGATATTTTGTAAAATGAATTACTATGTATAAGCCACGAAGTTTGTTCTTCCAGACACGGAGGGCCTGTATAAAGTATGAACCTATAATTTTCTGTGACAGATACATGAAAGAAAAGGGTGTCCAAGGGCAAAGATGTACTTTAACAAAATTGGTGACCAAACTTTTTTCACGTAACATATGCTTTTGGCTTTCTCATAAAAAAGAAACAACAAAATGAAGCGCCAATGAACGAGGAAGCAAGAACCCACACACTGCTACTAAGTTAAAAAGGACCATAAAAAGAAAGAACGGAGAGAGACCCAAAATGCCTAAAACAATACTACGAAACAAGAGCAACTTCGGATTCGAAGCCACCTCATGGGTTAAAATTAACCAATCCTAAGTTGCCTCATCGGTAATCTCTGTTTGCATGTTCTACACTTTGCTAAAGACTCCTAAGCTTGGGTGTGGAGAGTTGTTAGTGGAGCAAACAATGTTTGTTTGCTCTAGGGCTATAGATGGGAATTTCTATTATGTGGGTATGATATGAAAATCTGCAAAAGCACAGAGATTGAGCGAAAAGTGAAAGTAATAGTTTTTAGTTTCTGGAGTTTTTGGATTTTGTGACTCATATTGTGTTTAAAATGGCTGTCAATGAGATTGAGCTGGAGGAACAGCTTAAGGAGGTTGGGAATAGGCTCCTAGACCCTCCGTCATCCATTGATGACCTTCTTAATATGCTTGACGTAATGCACTTTTCTTTCTTTTCATATTTACTTGTCTTTTGGATTATTTCCTTTTGGTGTATTTTCTTGTTTAATTGAGTGGTGAATTGGACTGTTTGTTGATCAATTAGTATATTTAATTGGTTGATGCATGCGTATGTGTTTGTGTGTTATAGGTTTGGTTTCTGATGACTTGTTTTTTAATGGAATATTGAATTGGGGAAAGGACTCCATATAGTTTTATCATTCCGTGTTGATCATTGTTTCAGTTATGATTAATGTTGTTAGTATTCTATGGGCTTTCATTGTTTCCCAATTGCTTTTTAGTCACAATATACTTTTGATCGTTATTACATGCTTAATTTTTTTCCTTATCTTATATTTGTAAATTAGATATTGCATTTTGACTCGATTAATATTCCATTTTTTCTGTTTGATGGCTGGTGAATTTTGGCGTAGTTAAGGTTTTTGTTGTTCCAATAGATATCTATGCATGTTTTGCTTCTTGTTTGGTTATTTTATTCAATGGAATGTTAATGGAACATCAAAGGTGTTAGAGGTTGCTTTGGTAGGCTAGTCGGGAGGTTGGGAGGGGTCCTCCATTCAATTATTTTCTTGATCCTGAAAAATGAGAGAATTGTTTGTTTCCTTATTGCTTTATTTATTGTTGTTTCATCAATTTAAGATTGCATACGATTACTTTTGTTAATAGCTTATCAGTCATGTCTTCTTTTATGCCGTTACCTCAGATTACTAATTTGCAGTTTAATCAATCACGGGCTGATCCTTGTTCCTGGAATCAGGGTAGAGGGTTTTGAAGAGCGATAGCTCTGGTTTCATGTAGCACTTTATCCAATTGCTCCTATAAATTTCAGTGATGACCATTGCTTATTTAGACTTGTGCCCTCATTTGGCCATTTGAGTGCATCTTATATTTTTTGCATTTCAATCTCAGTGTATGATTTGTACCGTGTGTTGTAACAATCCTATGTGCATAGTCATGTTTAAGTTCATTGTTGACAGCATTTTGGGATGTTTGGATGAAACAAACTTGTAAATTTGTGTATATGTCTAAAACCTTGCACATTAACTTCCCTATTTATGATGTCTGATACTGACTATTTACCTTAATGGATGTTCAAATCCTAGCATCTCTTTTCTCTCTAATGTTAGATGATGCAAATGAAGCTGTCTTTGTTATTCTTTTTGTTGGTTGGTACTTACATTCCAAGGGTTCATACCATGGAACACCACTTTGATGATAATTCAAGCTTCTATTTGGTAACGAGGATTTTTATTGACCTTTGTTATGAGTTTTGAATGTCTTTATTGCATGTTAAGGATTGTTTTAACAATTTAAAATTTAATCTTTTCCTATTATCTTTTTTTAAATTAGGTAAATGAATTGCTTAATTGACTTAGTTTATTTGTCTTTTAGAATCTTGAATGTTTGCTCATAAATGTGGAACAAGCACCATCAAGATCAATGCAAGATGCACTTCTATTGCCCATGAAGGCCTTGATTTCTAATGCACTTTTGAGGAACTCAGATGCAGATATTAAGGTTTCAGTTGCATCTTGCATTAGTGAGATTACAAGAATTACAGCACCTGATGCTCCTTACAGTGATGATCATATGAAGGTCCTATTGACAGCCAAAATCAGTTTTCACATTTGATGGATGTTATTATATGGTTTCTAATTCAACGAATTATTTCAATATATCTTTTTTAATTTTTGGGGCTCTTGTGTGGTCTTTGTTTCCATTTGTGAGCAGGAAATTTTTCAGTTGACTGTAGCAGCTCTTGAAAAATTGTCCCATGTATCTAGTCGCTGTTATTCAAAGGCAGTTTCAATTCTTGACACCATTGCTAAGGTCAGATCGTGCTTGGTGATGATGGACCTGGAGTTGGATGAGCTAATTGTAAAGATGTTCAATCACTTCCTAAAGACCATTAGGTAAGAGCTTTGTTGATAGCATTTACCTTTCATTTCATCATCTGCTACGTACACATGCCACTTTCTCAATCAGTAGTGACTCAAATGGGTTCCATCACCCCACAGTATGATTCCATTTCCAGAGTGATGGTTTCTAGGAACTTTAGTTTGTATATTCCATCCCTGATTTCCAGCTCCAAAATATCTAAGTTTTATAGCTCCTAAGATATAGCAATATAATTTTGATTTATCTTTCTGGTTCTTCTATTCATAGAAATCAACTTGTCAAAATTTGTCTTTTGAGCATTACAGCAGTACCTCTATTTTCTTAAATTGTATCCCTGACTTAGCTAGCCTCTAGATGTACTCACAAGTTGTTTTAGATGAACTTACAGGTTCTTTAGTGATAGTTTCAGTTTCTTGGGTGTGTAAGAACAAATTTTTAGTGCTTCAGAATATGCTGATGCATATGTTTCGACATAGTTTCCTTTGTATTATATTTATTACTGAAAAGTGGGTTGTGGAGATTTTGATTACTATAACCATCATATAGTGGATAATCCTAAGGATTTTGCTAGTTGAAGATGCTATGGGAAATGTACAGTGAGAATTGAGAAGAAAGAACAGACTTGTTTGTGCAGGCAATGGACCCTTTTTGCTTGGAGGTTGGCATATCATCCAGACCATCCGGAAAGATAGAAATTATAAAGGTTTTTTTATGTGCATTTGTTGTGTATGGGTATTGTGCTTGTGTATCCAGTGTTATCATAGTCCGTTGGTAAGGGGTTTTGAGTTTCCCATTACAGATAGAATTCCAGGGAATCCTTTCCTCTTCTCCCCTCTAGTTGACTTTGGCTTTCCCGGGAGAAAGGAGAAGGAGAAAGTTAAAAACACAGAGGTGGTAGTGAGGGTTCAGTGATTTAGTTTTGGAGATAAACTGAAAGAATTCTGAGTTCTCTGAGTTTTGCTCAAAGCAATTTTAGTGCACTTAAAAGCCTAGGTCAGGGATTGATTAGAAAAGCAGCTATTGCCTTCTTGATGCCCCCTTAACAAGTACCATCATATTGCTGCCGTATGATCTTTTCTTCCCTTCTGAACTGGTGGTTCTAAAAAGTAATGAAGCTTTGTGCTATTTTAATTGTTCACTTTATTCATTAGTGTTTGACGTCTGATTTGTGAAATTGGGACTGTGTAATTGTGATAAAAGGGAACAAATATCAACAGGCTCCGGAATCCAGGGTGGTTCACTTGAATCTTTATGATATCATATCATGAATGGACAAAAACATTGACATGCGATAAAGTTAGCTTTTCTAATAATTTGACTATACAGACAACTAGTGCTAGCAGTCTATAATATAATGGGTGTGGAGTTGCTGCTTAACTTTTGTTAAAATGGTGTCACCTTATCTCTCAAATGGTGATATTTACCCCTGAAAATTCAAAGCATTGTATTGTTAGGTTTATGTAGAATGTCTCAGAAATTAGTGTCATTAGCAAGGGGATTAGATGCAATTTATTGTAACATCTGTCATTATAATGTCAGTGCAACATTGTGGTTAGGATGCTGTATTTACAACTACAGTCATCTCAGCTCTCTTTTTGGTGGAGCAGCATGGTGGAACTTGATGGTGTTTTTTCTGTTTTCACTTTTACTTCCTTTTTTAATGCATATATTGATCTTCTGTATGTCAACTAATCATATAGTCTTCTTGCTCATCAAGGTCCAACCATCCACATGCTGTATTTTTGGCCATGGAAACAATTATGACCCTGATCATAGATGAAAGTGAAGATATACCAGTGGCTCTCCTCACTCCCCTTTTATCGAGTGTAAGAAAGGAAAATCAGGTAAATGGTCTTCGCTATGTGCCCCTCGTATCTCTTCGTTTGCTACTATGATGTTGATTGGTTCTCTGGGATGTTATCAATTTAAGTTATACTGCAATTCCAGAATGTTTCTCCTGTTGCATGGAAGCTCGCGGAAAAAGTTATCACTAATTGTTCTCCTAAACTTCAATGCTATCTGAAGGAAGCGGTGCAGTCCAAAGGCATAGCTTTGGATGAGTATTCTCCAGTAGTTGCTTCTATATGCCAGGATGAATCTCGTACTCTTGAGCATGATCATGTCAAGGGTGGTGGGGATCATTTGGTATATTTCTTTTCTTCTGCCTGTCTATGACTGTATGAAAATGTAATGGCTTACAGCTTTTGTGTTACTTGTTTTAGAATTGAAGAATTGCTTTTGCAGAGGAAAACTGACATTGAAACTTCTTTATTTGCTGACTGTAAATCCTAAGTTCAGAACTTCATCTGCCTGCCTTCCGTAATATGTTTTGCCATGATGAAATGGATCCCTTGATTTTTCTTGTGTGGAGTTCATCTCCGTTTCAATTTTCCAAGGGGAATTATTTGATATGTACTGTCCAACTGTTTTAAACATGGTAATTATCAATTGTAAGTACCACGGTGCCGTGGCAACATATGCATATAATCACTTTGGTCCAAACAAACTTAGAAATCGGGGAACTTTTTCACATATTAGATGACATCTGGCAAATCAAATCAATATGCTTACTATAAAGCAAATAAAGATTTCATGAGGAAAGGACTCGTGAGCCTTACATGAGTAGTCAAAAATCAATGTTTTAATTATTAAGAAAAGTTCCTTAATGCATAAAATTACTCATAAAATGGTATGTTTGTGTTTTCTGCAAAGGAACCGCATTATATTCCTTGCTCATTACTTTAGGATATGGTAACTTTTATTTGTATCACGTTGGAGTATAATTGTCAGTAGAAAGGATAGAAACATTTATGAAGCAGCTTTTTTTTAGTATAATTTTGCTTATTTCTCTATCATATATTATTTATACCTGGAGTTTTTAATATAGATTATGACTAAAAATTTCTGCAAAATTCAATTTCTTGTATTAGGTGATGAAAGGGTTATCACTAATAACTGCTTCCCCTGGAGAAGTTTTCCCAGCTAAGGATGGTATTCCTAAGTTAACAAGTAGCCATGGAAATGCCTCAACAAAAAATTCTGACAACATCATAAATTATAGTTCTTCAAAAACACTGGAGAATTGTTCTCTTACCCAGAACACTGAAACTGCTGATGTACAAGGCAATGCTGAAGGTGAAGTCAAGTTGGAAATCGAGCCAGACAGTAATGCAAGAAAAAGGGGGCGGAAACCAAATTCTTTGATGAATCCAGAGGAAGGCTACGATCATGCTTGGATTCCTGCAGGAAGAAAAATTGCAAAACTAACCCGTGAGAGAAAACCTCGTGACAAGGAAGTGCATTTAAGATCAGAAGATCCAGTTACTAATAAGGCAGATTTGTTATCAGCACATGTGACAGAAATTATGGGATTGGCACCACAAACTGGTGTTGTCTCAGGTGCTTCTTCCCCATCACCAAGTCAAAGCGTACCGGGTGAAAGTCATCCTAAAAGAGGCCGGGCAAAGAAAATTGCAAGCTCTATGAATAGAGATGGTGATTCTAGTTCCTTAAGATTATCAAAGGGACAGGTGTTAAATAGTGCAAATGAGAAGAAAGCTCGAACTGAAGATGCAGTAAATTTTGGTAAGCACTATGAAGGAAGAAGTAACTCACAAGTAAAGCAACGCAAGCGCTCAAGAAAAATGGAGCTTACTACAAAGACTGCTGAAGAGACATCTCTGCCTTTGGCACATATGTTGCCAGATGATAAAACTGGGTCCCTGAGCGAACCTGCGGAAAAACCACTGCATCAGTCAACCAAGATAGGAGCAAGGAATGTCAACAAAGAGAGCTCATTAGTCCAAATTGATATTAGGAAAAGAAGTTTATTGAGTGTTATTCCAGATGTGGATGTTGCTAAAACATCTAGTGTTAAGGTATGAAATGATATGAATCATGTCCTTTTCTTACAATCATTCTGGCATTAATTTGTTGATCTTTTCCTTATAATCAACTGTGCAGAAAACTAAATCCTCTGATAGAGATGGAAGTGACGAGGAAGAAATTCCTAAAACAAATCTGAAGAGGAAGCGTACACCAAGGAAGGAAGTGGTATGGAATGTTTCTTCCTTGTTTTCCTGCATAACTTCTACTTGGTGAATGCCAATGGTATGGGGAATTTTTTCAGTTAGCCCTTAATTATTATTTCCTTTTATCAATGATGTAAATAACAAAACCATTTTATTGTGTGATGATTTAATTGAATCTTACATTGCTAAAACATCCTTAGTTTTAGGGACACATGTTTTCTTAGAATAGTGCTGGTTTCTTTGAAATTTAGGTGCTTGTGAAGTGCTGAATTTGGGAATCAGAAGTATAAGTTGAGGCTTTTATTTAGCATACTTTAATATTTGAATTTCATATGCTTCTGTTGTCCCAGAGTAAGGGAATAGGGATTGGAAGGTTTCGGTTCTATTAGTTGACAAAGTTGGCACTTGTAATATGAATTACTAAAACATCCAGCTGCGCTATGGTTGCAACTTCGGCAGTGCTTGTATCTATGTCTTGACTGATTGAAAACAAAATGGCTTTTCAAAAGAAATAGAATGATGGAATGAAGTTACAATAAGGCACATTTCCTAACTTAGGAAAGCCAAATATCTATGTTGGCCAAGATATTATCCTGTTTCTTAATTTCTATTTATCGAAAGCTAAATAGAAAGTAAAGATCATAGTTCAGTTACTGCCTTAGTTTACTTTGATTTCTGAGAAAAGCAGTAGGTCATAGGTAAGCTCTCACTTATTTATTCTGTCAATTGAAAAAATACCTTAATTGTGACCCATAATGTTCTATATCAATTTCAGGAAATTCTTGTTATTCCATTTAGTTTATCTTTGTTGTTGATTAACCACAAATACATGTTACTTCTGTATTTCTGCTAGATAGGAAGAATTTCAGGGCTCCGTCCTCACTCTTCAATCTATTTTGTACCTTTTTTAATTTTTACATTTGTTCCCCAATTCAGCCTCCTGAAACTCCTGATATTGGTCAGCAATTGGTTGGTAGAAGAATAAAAGTTTGGTGGCCACTAGACAAGATGTAAGATACCTTTAAGACTTTTGGCTACTTCATTTTTTTTGGTATTTTGTTTGATAAATTTCTTTCATCTTTTCAGCAATTTTAGGTTAAAATCTCATGATTTTACTTCTGTTCAATCATCATTGCCTGCTGGCTTTGATAAATTTTCATATATCTGTTTACCACTTTTTTTCACGCCTTATATGCATTATACTCTTTGCATTTTTGTATTTTATCAACTTTATTTGGGGCTTTCTGACACAAATCTATGTAAAGAAAAGGGCTATCGGTTGGAGAAATTAAAATTGGAACTTGAGGAAAGGGTAATGATATTGGGATATATATGCATGTGATTGACTACTTGATAAAAAAAGAGAAATAAATTTTTGGATGCTATCAAATCGGTTGGAAATGAGTGCATCTGGCAATAGATTGGGACAATAGTTTATTCTTTTATGATGTAGACTAGACTGGCAATTAGCATACTCTTGGTCTGGGACCTATGACATATAATAGCACAAATGACTAATGCAAGTCCAAAACTAGTCACATGTTTTCAATGGCTTATTTTAAAACTATCAATAGTGGCCACTCAATAAATAATAACAATTATGATAGAATAACACTGGTTATGCTTCTCTCTCTATGGCATGTGCCGTTACTGATGAGGCATCCTTAATGCGATTGGTTAATAGTTTTTTGTGCTGACTGGGACTACATCTATTACAGCTGAATAGGATCTGAATATAATTTTAATTAATTTGCAAATGGAGACTTTTGAAGCTTTTGACTTCTATATGTGGGAGATATTCAGGGCTTAGAGTCAGAGCAGCACAAAGAATTACACCATTTGCTTAAAAAAAGTGGGGAAAAGAAAGAAATCCACCAAGTGCCATTTGTTTTTAGTTGTGAACTTAGATCATAGACTTTGATTTGTGCAAGACATCCTCAGCTGAAATTTCTGGAATTTATGCTAATGTCGTGTAATAGCATCTCATTGGCAGATTCTTAATCTAAGAATATAGCTATAATCCTTGTGTTCTTAAACGTGTTTTCTTATGCTGCAGGTTTTATGAAGGAGTTGTTGATTCCTATGACCCTATTAGAAGGAAGCACAGGGTGAAATGACTCTAGCTAACCTACTAAGATCTTTTATTCTTTTTTATTACTTGTTACTTCCATTTGCAAGGGAAGGGAAGTGTGGGGGTTGCTTATGACGGCTTTCTGGTACCGACTTATTGCATTTGCAGTTGATCTCGTGTTCTCTTTCCATACAGAGGCTCTTTCATGGGCCATCTCATTTAAAATCATGAGCATTTTTCTTACATCCATGGTCGTCTGACCATCTTATAATTGGTCATCTTGTGGTTCCTGTTGCAAGACCAGCTGATCCAGAATACTCATCCATGGAGTAATTGATCTCCGTGGAACACTTAAAAACCATCTTAATGCAACTTCTCTTAATATAGCAAATGTATTTTCCTGTCCTCATTTCTCCATATTTAGGTCTAAGTAACCTTTCATCATTACTTGTTTTTTAGGTGTTGTATGCTGATGGGGATGAAGAGATACTCAATCTTAAAAAGCAACAGTGGAAGCTAATTGGAGATGATATTTTCCCTGATGAAGTGGGTCTTTTGACTTTTATTTCTACATGGTATTTTTTCTCAGTAACTTATTTCTGCAAAACTAAGTCCTCTGTCTCACGATTTTGCCAATAAAATTAGGAGGATCGAGATACTGGTATTCCAAAAGTTGATACTTCATTTGACAAGTAAGTTTTGCTATTTCACTAAATTTGCTTCTGCTACTAAATATTACTATTTCCTTTCTGCAAATTCATGCCTATGTAATTTTTATGTTTTACCACAAACTGAAGATTTTTGTTTTTAGAAAGTTGTGGCCTTAATTTGCTTAGCAGTTCTTTTCCTTTTATTTTGTTTACTTATTTTTCTTAAATAAAATAAAATAATTATTTCATTTTGCTTGCAGTCAAAACAATTATTTTCTCATATATTGCTGCAGAAATCTGTGACGTAAGGACACCTTAAATAGGGTATGACATAGAATTAGGAAGAAAAAGAATGACCTTCTTTAACTGCCTCTGGGAAATAAATGTAGTTAAGTACTAAGGAAAAACAGAATGGCTCTTCTTTAATGCTGTGAGTGATATATGTAATTCTTTTTTGAGTTTTCTTATTTTGGTTTAGAGATGCATGTAGTTATTAACTTATTATATAAAATGTAGTAATAAATAGAATCCGTGAGAGATATACGAATATATATTTTTTAATATTTATTTTGGTTTAGAGATGCATGTAGTTATTAACTTATTATATAAAATGTAGTAATAAATAGAATCCGTGAGAGATATACGAATATATATTTTTTAATATTTATTTTGGTTTAGAGATGCATGTAGTTATGAAATGGCTCTTCTTTAATGCTGTGGAGTATATATGTAATTCTTTTTTGAGTTTTCTTATTTTTGGTTAGAGATGCATGAGTTATTTAACTTATTATATAAAAGTAGTTAATAAATAGAATCCGTGAGAGATATACGAATATATATTTTTTAATATTTTATTTTGGTTTAGAGATGCATAGTTAGTTATTAGTATTAAATAATAGCAATTGAATAGAATCTATGCACTATCAAAAGAACACTAAATGAAAGTGCATCATTTCCCCCTTTTGCCGAAGCAGTATTTTGGTTTAGAGATGCATGTAGTTATTAGTATAAATATAGCAATGAATAGAATCTATGCACTATCAAAAGAACACTAAATGATCATTTCCCCTTTTGCCGAGCAGTTAGATGTATGCCTCATAGTTTATGGACATGTTTGTTTTCTACCAAATCTTTTGTTTGGTCTAAAATTTCTTAGCCTACTGAAATGTATGATCAGACCGCAAAAAGGAAAGGCAAAAGTGAAGTCAGAATCGGCCAAACAACTGAGGGTTGATTTGAAAAGGTTAGTTTGCATACTTCAATAATATTTCAGTGAAATATGATTTTTTGATACATTTTGACTGAAAGCTTATGATGGTTTTCTAGGAGTGGAGCCACTAGCATTTCCAAGAGAAAAGCTAGAACATCAACCAGAAAATTGGCAGCTGGTAAAACGCAGGACGAACCTAGTCTCGCTGACAAAGCCATTAATGATATATCTAGGCCTGACAGCAACTCAGAAGGTAATGTTCAAGAATCTACTGGCAAGTTGAAGATCAGAGGTCCAAAGGCCAGCATCAAATCCGAGCATACAACCCTAGAAACAAGTTCATCCAGTGATGGAACACCTAAAGGTGGCAATGTATTTCGTGTTGCTGCCATACTGGAAGAAGAATACTCGAAACGACCAAGTAGAAATGAGCAAGAAAGTGAAGAAAGATCTTCAGAATCAACTGACACTAATTAGATACTAATTAAAGTATGTATAGAGATGAAAAACGGTTGAAAGGCTAAGAAGCTTTGCTAAGTTTTGGTCGAGTACAGGAGCAGTGTCTCAGTTATGGTCTCTCTGTGCCTTTGATTAATATTTTTGTGATCATGATGTACATGCAGATGCAGTGTTTTGAGGGTTGTGATGAATCAAAGGTGGCAAACCAATAGTTATTCTAATTCATTGATCATAGTTGTGATGAATCAAGGGTGGCAAACCAATAGTTATTCTAATTCATTGATCATAATTTTAAAAGGTAAGTGTTTATCTTTCTTTCTAATAAATTTCTAAATGTTATGATAACAAAATTGAATCTTCTGTTATAAAATAATCAAAATTAGTTCTTAATACAATATCAATTGCTTATTTAAAAATTAAATATTGAGATTGTATTTTAAATTCATTTATCATTTCTAATCTTATTATTTATTCATGTGAGATATGCATGGAACATTTTATGTATTATTATCTTTTTTTAAGGAAAATTTTGATCATTCTTTAATATTAATTTATGAACACAAACCTAAATTAAGGTATCATTCACCAAAGTTGCAAATTGTAAATCAAAGTTGCGACAGGTTTGTGTTCAAAAATCAACAGTAAAGAAGGATCGATGATGCCTTAATTTTCTCGTGTTCATAAATTAATTATACCTTAATACCAAATGAGGTGTATTTTGGTAAAAAAAACATTTTGAGTAAATACATATTTTTTATTGAAATCATTAATTAATTTGATGAATTCTTCATAAAAGAGTATTTTTTGTGTATTTTTCTCTTACAAATAGTTACATCTCATGTTTGCACTAAAATCAGTAAATGAATCGTTTGTCTTAACGGAAAAAACCATTTGATAAGTTACAATTTTTTTATCGAGATCACCGCATAATTTGGTGGATTCAATGCAAAATAAAAATTATTATTTATTCATCTGATTATTTTTTGCTGATTAGTTAGTGTGAGTTATTTTTTGATTGCATTGAAATCGTAATTGAATTGATAGTTTTAGTGCAACGACAGAACAAATATTAAATTTATAAATAGTTTCAATTTTACATTACACATGTAAATAGTTGTTACAAGAGTATTATTTTTATTAAAATCCCGATTAACGACTAATATTGGTTATAATTTTAATAGACTAATAAATATATATGTTTATAAATTATGATAAATATGTCAATTTTCGGAAATGTTTCTATTTCTTAAAAAGGAAAATTCGTTTTCCTTGTGAATGAAAAAAATGTGATAATAAAACATACTTTTCCTCGACTGAAATACTATTGACCGGTATTAGTGATTCTCCTTTTTGGCAGTAGTAGGCGAGTAGGCGTGAATATGTGATATGGTATGGTCCAGAGATCATAAAGTTAAGGTCCCAAATGAAAGTAAAGTAGTACCACTAGATTGCTGACAACTCAGATCGGCAGCCTGTCGCTGCGGGTGAGAAAACAGCGTTGCACCATAAATAAAATTCCAAATGGCATTATTTTATAGGATAAATACTTTTTAGTCCTGAAATTTCAACCTAATGACTAATTCGTTCCTCTTTTGTTGGTAAATACATCATTCATTTACGAGGTTTAGCTTCGTTGAAATATTTAATGCTTCTCGCATGGATGAGATAGTGGGAATTCCTTATCTTTTATTCAAAGATTTTAAATTATAAATATGGAGTTTTTTTTTCTTTTCAAAAAAAAAAAAAAATATATGGAGTTTTTTAAAGCATTCAAAAAAAAATACAGATTTTAGATACCAGATGATTAAAATAGAAAAAAATTTAGAGCTTCTACTAAAAATAATTGTTCTTACCGTTAAATTTTTTTATAATATATGATTATTAATTTTTTGTATAAACTTCAAAATAAATTAATATATTTATAAAAACGAGAACAAAGTAGTAATTAGAATTAAATATGAGGAAGTAAATATTCCTTCCATTATATTAAATTTGACTAATTTTCACTAATTTTTATTTCTATTTAAATAACACTTTTAGAAAATTAAAGCAGCATAATTATTTTATTATAATTTCACTCTTATTTAGATATCTATATTAAATTTTATCTCAATTAAATTGGTATTAATTAAATGATAATGTAATCAATTATTTTTATTTTTTTCTTAATTCTCTCAAAAAAAAAAGTCAGAAACAGTCAAATTTAACCTAACAAAAAAGAGAGGAGCATTTTTTTTTTTTTTTTTTTTTTTTTTTTTTTAAAGAGAGGAGCATTTTTTTATTTTTTTTTTTTTTTTTTTTTTGGAAGTTGTAGCATCTTTTTTTTTTTTTTTTTTTTTTTTTTTTTTGAAGTTGTAGCATCACCTATTTGGTGGCTGGTGATGTGTAGTAGAAACGATACTGAAACGGATACCAAAATTAATGAGTGCACTTGGTCGGCAACTACACATATGATATGAGCTATGCATAAATACTGCGTTTCTAGTTGGTAAAAAAAAAAAAAATACTCACAACTCATAATTCTTTTAAAATCATGTTGTATATTTGTATTTGTTATCTAAATATATCTTCTGCTATTATGTATTATATCATTGTTTAATGTATATTTTATAATATATTCTTTGTATATAAAACCCTATGTAATTGGAATATATATGTTAGTAATTTAACAATTTAATTCACTGATCTCTTAATAAAAATAATCGATAGAGCATTGACTAAGCTTTTGCAAAATCAAAAAATGATGTCAAAGTAAGATAAATCATCTTGTAGTTTTCTCATAGCTTGAACAATAATAAGAGAGTCCAATTTTAAAATTACGTGAGACAAACATTTCTCTTTAATCCAACTCAACGACTTTCCAAAGTTTAGAGTTTCTTTCTAAATTATCCAAATTAATAACTATTAGTAGCTAAAATACTTTAATTTATGCTTCGTTTGTTTTCGTAAAATAACTTGCTAAAAAATATTTTTCATGTAAAATATTTTTCTTGAAAAATATTTTTCAAATGACTTATTTTCCATTATTTGGTTGTAATATTGAAAATTAGTTAAAAATATTCAATTCTTATCTTATAAGACCATAAAAAATATTAATAATAATAGAAATTTTATAATTTAAAAATTTTATCGTTAAGTATGAGAAAAATGTAAAAAAATACATATAAAAATTATGAAAGACACCAATTGCTGATGGTGGTGGCCGGTGACGGTGGTCAGTGGTAAATGATAGCTGGTAGCAGTAACTATGATGATTAATAAATTTTAAAAAATATTGAAATAAGGTTTGTCAATATGTAGAAAATATTTTACTCTCTTGAAATGAAAATTTATTTTTCTTTAAAAAATGACTTTTCCTTTGATCAGAAAAATATTTTCCGTTGACTTATTTTTTTGAACGCTTTGATCAGAAAAATATTTTCCGTTGACTTATTTTTTTGAACGCCCCAAACAACGAAAAATTGTAAAAAATATTTTCCTATAAGTTATTTTACGGAAACAAATGGAAGCTCATTTACATTCAAGTTTTTTATTTTTAATTGAGATAGATTTCAGATTCAAATTTCAATTATAATCAAATTTATTAAAAATTACATATAATATTACAAATGTTAATTTTGTATTTTTTTTTTCCATAAAAAATAATTGAAAGAAGATTTTAGCTAGAAAGGAGCAAGTAGGTCGGAATAGCAGTAAATGAGACAAGAAAAAAATAATTTATATATGTGAGATATCGCATTGCCAATCGACAGTCTTCCTTCGCATCGGATGCTTTGTCTGTGGCAACTCCTCTTCGTTTTTTTTTTTTTTTTTTTTTTTTAATTTAACGTTTTTTTTTTTTTTTTTTTAATTAATTATGGAAGGTGGTAAAATTAAAGACTTTTATACGTGGACCAAGACGAGCAAATTGTTTAGTACTCTGTGTGAGTTAGGAAGCATTTTATAGGAAGTAAAATATATATAGTAAATTGGAAAGATTTATTAATAATTTCTTTTGTAATTCTGATATTTTTTTTATTATTTCATATGTATGTATTCTAATTTATTTATTGGCACACTAAGGGGTAGTCTTATATTAGGGATAGTCTAATAATAAATGTATGTATAGTTTGAAAATAGATTTAGATCCGACTCTCCTCTTTAGATATTCAAAGAAAAAAAATTCATACATCAGATATTAATGAATAATAAGTTTCTGTTTTCTATTGTTTATTAAGAGGTTAAAATAATTTAGATTATTTTCGCAAAAAAAGAAATTATACATTTTATTGTTGCTGGCACCCGTTAGTTTTTAATTTCTTCTTCTTTTCCATAAAGACAAAAAAAAAAAAAAAAAAAAAAAAAAAAAAAAAAAAAAAAAAAAAAAAAAAATAAGAAAAAAAAAAAAAAAAAAAAAAAAAAAAAAAAAGACAATAAACAAATACTGTCTTCCTTTGAACCACATGCCGCCGGCCGATCACGTTCTGCAACCATAAATAATTAAATATGATACGAGCGAATTGCCAATCAGTCTTTCTTTAACATATTATTACAACACAACTGTACTTTTTGTTTTTCTTTAATCAACATGAAAGCTAAAATCTAAATTTAAGACGTTTTGTTTTCCTAACTTATTTAGCGTAAACGGATAGCAATTATAAAATAGTACAGATTGACTAGAGATCGAAGCCATCTCTTCCCACCATCGCGTCCTCTATAAGTTTGAATATGAAAATTTCCTTCTACTTATACATAGGGGAGCTACAAATATATTTTCAAACGTGATTTTCAATGAGGTCAATAGGATTAAAATTTTAAAATTATTTTACGTAATTTGCACTTTTTAAATTTGTTTAATCAATTTAACCCTATATTGTAAATATATTTTCTCAACTTGAAAATTTTGCACTAGCCATGGAATATGGATCCCCTTTATATATTTATATATATACATACTTTTACAAGTGGACCAAGACCAACAAGTTGTTTATTAATTAATCATAGCTGCACTTAATTAGGCATCCCCACTGACATTTTTCCAAAAAAATTGGTACAATATGGAATAAACTAAACTGATTAATTTGTTATTTAAAAAAAAAAATGGACAATTTGATCGTAAACTTTATAAAACCGTTTAAACCTATGAATCTTACCTTTCTTCGGGCAAATATTATTAATAATTATGAAAGTTGATATTGTATTAATATTAATATAATTGAAATATAATTATGTGCTGTTATATGAACATTCCCTCCTTCTATGCAATATATATAATTGAAATATAACAAATTAGACTTATAAATGCATTATTCCAAATGGAGTA